AGCATAGATTTGGATTTGAAAAATTGTATTGCCTATGTTGTATTTGTGACCCTCTGAAACATTTTGCCAAAATTGCATGGAGTAATTATAATAGGGTTCAGTACCTAACAGCCTTACTAGATTATGATCAATCTTTACTACCGGAGAGATAAGTGAGTAGTCTTGACTTGTTGCCAGTTGTCAACCATAAACTACTTATTTTTCTTTAAGCAGCTTTCGGTAAAGAAAAGTATCCTGAGTTAAGCATGAGAATACTGCAGTAGTAGAATATTAGCCAAAGTAATTATGATTTATTTCACTACATGTTGAAGCAGGAGCATTTCTGTTCTTTGCTTCGACTTGTTGTCTTGTAAATGCAGATTGTGTATATCTCCATATAACTCGAATTGCACAGGTCACATTCAGTATCGGGTATTTCAAGGTTTTCAAACCATTTTTTATTGCATTCAGTAAGGTAAAGGTAATATGAAACATTTTTGGGGTTATTGTTATTGTTGATAGAATTAAATACATAAAATAAATTCTTCAAAAGAGAGTACCTGAAGATAATCTAAATGAGTTGAATTTTTTTAAATGCTGCACCCTCTTGCAAGGTAATTTTAGCATTATTAGCACACCCCAAAACATTTAAACTACTCTGATCAGTTTCTGTTTCATAGTACAGTTGCAGCTGTCAGGAAATGGTTCTGATCAGCTTCCGTGCGAACAGCATCCAGTAGTAACAGCATCAACAGTGAGCACCAAAGAACTGAGGAGTGACATGGTATCTGGCAGTACTGAGGTGAATGCAGCTGCTGAAAGATATTTATTTTCAAGTGTGACCATAGATGCTCAAGATTATGCAAGTGCAGAAATGTATTTTAAGACATCAGCATATTTGGGAATTGAGATCATTTTTGATCCCATACTTATGTCAATTGTAAACATTGAGAAATTAAATACTGGATGCAGGTATTTATTTTTGCATTCATAGGAATGAATAAGATTATAATAATAATAATCCTTGCATTTGATATAGAGCCTTATCACGTCGTCAAAATGTCACAAAGTGCTTCACAGCACTTACAAAGTACTGTAAAGTGGTTTGACTCTGCATTTTTGAGGGCAAAACGCAGAAGCCAGTTTGTGCCACAAACAGCCATGGAATTAGCGATAAATTTTATTTGGAGGATTTTTGGCCAGAACACTGTGAGAAACTCCTTTCTCTTTTTGAACAGTGCCACCAATTTAATATCCACCTGAACAGGCAGCGCAAACATAGTTCAAACATTGTCTAGGATTGAATGCAACTATCTCATCAATAAATCCTGTAACCAGAGTATTCAAATAGCAAAGAGCAATTACTTTGATAACACCACTCGATTTAGGGGAAATGCTGAAAGTGTATTGAATTTGTGATAGGATTATTCATGCCTAAGTAAACTGGGGACTGATGACTACAGGTAAGTCAGTACTTAGACGATGACTACCTCTTGGCCTTGTAGTGTGAATGATTTTTTTTTGGTCAGCCAGGTATCTGACAAATGTGGAAACCCATCATGCTTAAGAGTATCCAAACCAAGCTGAGAATTCCATGCATACGACCTACGAGGAAATTCCAGATAGATTGTTGGAATGGAATGTGCGCTCTATCCCTGGAGGGACGGACGCATCCTACTTACCTAATTCTGGAAAGTATTAGGCACAGGTTGGCAAAAGCCAAGGCTTGGGCATCCCAGCGTGTGTGTTGGGGTAACTGCTGGATTCTAACCAGCTAAAACCATATAGCTTGCCATTGATATTGCTGCCAAGGAAGCTTTCCCACTGCTTGTCCAGATAGCACCAACTACCCGTTGGGGCTTTAGCTTGCAGGGTTAACAGGAGCTGAGTGGGATAACTCCCTGTCCCATGTGACTGAACTGCCCTTCCAGGTCCTGCCGATGAGCCAGGCTGTCTGTGCTTTCATTATCAGTGCCCAGGAATACTACGAACCTGCCTGGCTCGGGAACGGGGCTACTGAGCCTGCCACAGCGGGCTGGCTCAATTGTGACATTTCATTGCCAGGCATGTCACCTTCGAGCCAGTTCAGCTTCAAGGAGACCCCACTTACCAACCCCCACCTACCACACCCCAAGGAGGACAGTCACTAGTTGGTCGTTCAACATCTGACAAGCGCGGATTTCAGCACTCACTGGGTGGACGCTAGGCACAAGTAACTACTTGCGAAATGCATGAAATGTGTGAGAGTGCTGCCTCCGTCTTCCTGTCCGCAGCTCGGGTACATGTCCCTTCCCATTGATCATGGTTTCACCAATTGGAGATGCGGAGTTTAAGCAGCACCTGCGTGCCTCTCTGCAGGCCAATCAAGGTGAATTCCAGCCACTGGACGTACGATCATGTGTTCACGAACTTGGAATCTAGGTAACGCCTTCCAGCAGCTGTCGCCCCAACCCTCAGAGTTTCCTCATCAGCTATCTGGTGGGCAGCTGCCTTCAGCGTGGTGGGCGGCCCTTTACAGGACAGCTTGTTTCGTGCCTTGATGTTCTTGAGGTCCAAGTGTGAATGACATGATTCCTGGTGTTTCCTGTGAATCAGACTTGAGTAGAGGTACTAAATGCACTTGCTGTACGAGTGGCATTACTCGCTCCCTAGATGCGCATTGGAAAAGGCGTATGTTTATGCAGCTGCTTGTAAAAGGCAATGAATAATTTATCTACAATGTTTAAAAAAAAGTCTATTGCAGTTGAGTCTGTTGAATGCTATACTCTGTCGGAACGGACAAAATCCTAATATTGTTGTATTATATCTAACAACATAGAATAAAAATATACTATGACAATAGGGTAACTTCCCTTATCAACACTTACAAACACTTCCAGACTGTTCTGAAGGTATTTACAGTTTCAAGGATAAGAAATTTTTTTTTTACTTTAATAAGGCTTCTTTTTAAATAAAATCTGTTATTTTGACGTTTTATCTTTGAAATTCAATCACAAAAATAACATCCACTATGGGCTCTAAAATACTGTACTCTCGACCCTGGTACCTCCAAGCGCTTCACAGAATGTATTGTAAAGGGGGGTGACTGAATTTTGTAGAGGCAAAACCCAACAGCCAATTGCGCACAGCAGTGTCCCACAAATGGTCATAGATTGAGTACCAAATTATCTTTTGGGGGGGGATGGATTACTACACCTGGAAAGCGATCCGCCAATCGACTATCACCTGGGTTCTTATTTACTGTTAGCTAAACAGAGTCATGTGGAGTAAGGAAACTTGCCTAAGGTGTCGCCCTGCCCAGGAAGCGAACGTGGATCCTCTCGTTTGCGCTATCCACTGCACTACGGGACTCCATGAATGCATACCAAAACATACCAAGCACGGCTGGGACTAACCCGCTAGCATAACATTATGTGGATTAGATCAATAGCGGACTTAACACTATGTGAACCTATCTGTATTTAGACAGTTTTACTCAGATTGCCCCCTTTTTATCATCCCTCTGAAGATGAGATAAAAGTACTGTTTCATATTACAAGCTTGCAATATCCTTTTCACCAAAGAGCTACATTCCTTAATGAAGTCAACGATCCTAACTGAGCAGCGTTTTTAACCCTATTAAAGTATTGATCTGATCTTTCAAATTAAATAATCAAATGACTGATTATAATATTAACTTGTCAGGAATGTCTATTGTGTAACTTAGCTATTGTGTAATAATTTGCTTTAGTGGATTTGCAGTTTGTAATGGATTCCAATGAACATGATTCCTCCCTAATCTTCCCTATTGTTTTATATTTTGAGTTAATTTGGTTCTCATAGGAAATTGCACAAATATGTTATCAAAACAGTAGTTTTTATCAGCAGGTTTTATTTCCTTTTTTTTGTTCACAAATGACAAACTGTTTTTATCTCTCTTGCTATAAAGCCAAAATTGTATCTTATCCTGTGTGTGGCAAATGCATGGTGGAAGGGTTAAGGAATGGTATGCACATGCACAAGTGAATCTTCTTTCAAAAATGAGAAAATAGTTTAAAATATAGGGAGACTGGGCCAACTCTGGCTTTGTTTGGTTTCCAACATGGTCATTATAGCTATATTTTATGCAGGAATATTGGGCATTCCCTGTCAATGTTCATAGTTTGTGGGGATGCTGCAAATTACATGAAATCTGTGGACTGATTGTCACAGAAATGAGTTCTCTTTCTGCTGTCATCCAGAACAGCCATTGAAGTAGAGCATTGTTTAGTTATCTCAACGTAAATAAGCAATTGTGACATGGTTGTGATTATTTCAATATTGTGATTTTGAACGTGGTTGAATACAGTACTGATTAATTAATTATGAAACTTAATTGAAATTTAGCTTGATGTGCTGTAATAAACTCATTGCATTATGCTCAAAATGAAATGTGTTACCATGTTTAATCTGTAGCAGTGCTCACAATGTGCCCTTGTATTCGCTGAAGTCGACAGCAAAGGCCTTTTGTAAATTGTTTGATATGTAGTAAAGTGGGTAAGAAATCTCAAGTGAGTGCTCAAATTTCCCCATGTTGGGGAGGTGATCCTTAGTTCAAATTTCTGCTGATGTCTGGTGCATCCCCACAATAATAATAATAATGATCCTTGCATTTGATATCGCGCTTTTCACGTCTCCTAGACATCCCAAAGTGCTTCACAGAATATACTGTAAAGTGAATTAACTGTATATTTGTGGGCGAACGCGGCAGCCAATTGCGCACAGCAGTGTCCCACAGACAGTCGTGGATTGAAAATGACCAATTTATTATTGTTTTGTTTTTTTGGAGGGATTATTATTAGGCTTGTGGAGTAAGGAAACTTGCCCAAGGTTTCGCCCCACAAGGAGGAGAAATGTGTGCATTTTGCCATTCACCAACGTACAGTAGTATATAGGCATGGAACTGATCATTTCACCTCTCGCTGTAACTTGTATGTGGACTATGAAGATAAGTGGTTAGGAAATGGAGTGTGCAATGAAATCTTTCTACCTTCTTTTCACAGTGATAGTTACTTTGCACGTGTGCGAGCAGTGGTGATGACCCGTGATGACTCAAGTGGAGGATGGGTGCCACTGGGAGGGGGTGGCCTCAGCTATGTCACTGTATTTAAAATCCATCTGGATGAAAGTGGCTGTGATGATTTTCTTATTCGTGGAGAAAGACTCAGGGATAAAACGGTAGGAACAAATTTTTGACTATCTTGTATTCATTTATGTTTTGAAACACATTTTCAAAATGTATTTGTTTTGGATGAAATAGTGTTGCAACTTTCTTTTGATGTTTCCTTTATGTTTTTACGCAGACATTTAGTAGATGCAGACTGAAATGAAAGACTTGTTTGTGTTGGGACTGTAAACTATGTTGAATAATTTACAACGTGTTATTTAAAAAAAACTTGTACAGTCGGGGTACGACTTGTGCACCTTGGAATTGAACTGTTCACCACCTGTAACTTTTATGCCAGTTTGTTGCATGTAGTATTATTATATTTTTGGATTTCAATAAGCAATTTTATGCTTTCAATTGTTTGGACTGAATACTCCTGAAATACAATTTATACAATTTAGTTTTGGCATGGTAGGGTATTGTATTTCTTTTGACAGACCAATTTTGTACCATTCAAATAGAATATTTAACAGTTCAGGTGATGACCAGGATCTCAGTTTCCTATACCTGATGTCGTCAGTAGTTTTATGGTACAGTACATGGGACAAATGTGATTTTTAAAATCAAACAAATTCCATTTTCATATTGTTATTTCTGTCAGATATTTGTTATTTCTATGAATACATATTGGCTATCGTGTTTGTCTACAAATGGCAGTCGCTACACTTCACAGCAAATCCTGAGAAGAGCTTTGAGACTTTTTGATAATGTGATAAGGTCCTGTATCAAATGCAACGATTATTATGATCAATATGGGATGTCGTCCAAAAAGCACAAGGACGTTTTTATCCCTTTTAAGAGATAATCTGACACCATGTGACATCGCTTTTAGACCTTTTTAAAAAGCACCTCTCTATGGTCTTCCTACTTTTAAACATTGACATTTTATGCATTTGGTCTCCTCTGATGGATATTTGTTTTAAAAAATTGACCTTTTTAGAACGAGCAACAATAAGCCACCAAATAGGGCTCCGTGCTTATATTGTTCCACAAAATTAGATATTCTGGGTTAAGAGAACAACAAAATTAAAATTGGCACAAAATATATAACTATTATTCTAGGACCTCTCCTGTTCCTAGTATATCTAAATTACATGGGTTTACAGGCTCAGTGCCACTGGTTAGTTAACTTTGCAGCTAACACCATGCTTAGGGAACCATTTTACACCCCATGGACATTGGTAGCCTGCCTACTTGTTTAGAAAAAGTATTAATATTTGGTCTGTTTCCCAAATTGAATAGTTGTAACTGAATCAGAGGAGATGGTAAAGATCTTAGAAAGATAGAGATTAACTGGCTATGTGTTTGTGATTTCCGGCAAATGAGATTTAATAAAGATAAATGTATTAAAAAGAGGCACATGTGTTCCGTGGATGTGAACTTGACACAGGGGAAGTTGAAAAAGATCCATGTGGCATTAGTGATTAAATGCTCACACTGTCACCATTGTGAGGCTGCAATGAACAACAAAATAAGATGAATTGGGCTACATTGCCAAATCAGTTGAGTTCAGATTCGAGGAAGTTATGCTCAATACTCTAGTCACTGCAAAATAAGGGGTGCCGAAGCACTGGGAGTAAGTAGTGCAGAAAAGAATGAGACTGATCTGCAGTAATAAAGGAATGATCTGATAAGCTTGGACTCTAATCCTTGAAAAGAGGGCACCGGGTCTTGGCTTTGAAGGACAAGTTTAGGACTAACCTCAGGAATTATTTCTTTACACAAAGTGTAATCAAGAAGAGTAGGGTTTGCAAGCACTGACTTGGTACTGTCTCAGCATGTCTATACTGGGGAATTGCAAGGAAAATTGAGGCTTCAATTAAGAGATGAGCTCCAGGCTTTAATTAAGTATGACTTAAATCTACAAACTACTTAACATTGAGAATCCTCGTGGAATAGGGTCCTCATGATGCCTTATTCTGAAGAATTCCTCAAAGTGGAATGTGAAGAATCTTTCAACAATAAAGTAAATTCTTGGAATGAGTACCTGTTCAGAGTACAACGATGACAATTTTGCACTTGTGTAGTTCGTTTCACGTAAGGAAGACCTCTACATGCTTTACAAAGACAAATTGGTTGGCTGAGCTGAGAGGGAAATTGATGTGGGGGGAGGTGGTTGGAGAAGAATGGCTGAAGGTGCAGTAGTTGGGATTGTTGACCACTTGCTAAACGATCTAGACTCCCTGGTTAGATGATTAAGTATGATTTCTTTTTGCTGCAGAGACCACTTTTCCAGTCAATTAAACCATTCTTTAAATATGTAGTTGTATCATTGCTGCAAACTGGTCAGCCACTGCTGCTTATCATATCAAAACGGAAAAAAGAAGTTGAGTAAAATGAACAGAAACAAAATTCTATAAAATATTAGGGAGCAGGAGCTGAGAGAATTGTTTTGCGCATGGTAAGAGATGATACAGCATTGCAGGTAGTCAGTTCAATGACAAATGAATGGTAAATTGCATTTAATATTAAGAAACATTATTACTGAAAAAGAGACCTTATTTAGTAGTTTCAAACCTGTTAGCTTGACAGCTATAGAGGCGAAAAAATACTGCACCATATTATAAAGGAACCAATTAATGTTCATGAATAAAGGCAGTAAATCCAAGCTAACACGGGAATTACTTTGAGGTTGTAACTGAATTTGTGGATGTTAAGATGATGGGTGGTGGGTATTGTACTTTTCAGAAATTATTTCATTAGGTTTCTCACAGGATTTTAATGGTTGAGGTTAAATCTTATGGGATCAAAATGAAGTTATGATGAATTTAATAGCTGTTAGGAAACTAGTAATGGATAATTGACCAATGGAATCCTGCATATTGTAATTACTGTTAAACGTATCAAGTCAAAAGTCTAAATTGCATGGGAGAGCAGAGTGCTCAAGGAGAGAAATCATTCATTGCTTGTAGAAATGTGGCAGATTAATGGTAAACTATTTAATATTGAAAAATATTAATACCATGTGCTATACATGGTAACTGAAAAGAGAAATGATTTTTTAAAATCTTCCATCACATGTTCAGTGAACAGGTTCTGAATTTGACATGGAGCCAGAAAGAGACTGAAGGAAATCTCAAGTTAATAGAACTTGAGGAGTCACTGTGGCACTTTTAATGGGGAGGTCAATTTAATACAAGACGAGTGGAGGATATATATATATATAATATCAATACTGGCGAAGTGTGTGGGGGGGATCGAAGGATCAAAACTGGATGGGTTCTTTGCCTTTCATGAGAAATACTAAGTACATCATTTTCTGATCAAGCTAAGGCAACTTACTCCTTCCTACCCTATGGAAATGCTGCTCTTTAACCAGTTGTTGTGGGTTCATGAACGATGTGGGATTATTGCCTCTCCAGTGTGTCCCATTTTTTTCCCACCCCCACTCTCATCAGGGAAATCCCTTGCCTCTGTCAACACCACCTGCTTGCAGCCTGGCTGAAATTGGGAATGCTGAAAAACCACAGGGAGAATTCCATGTCCTGACACACCATGATGTAGTGCACCAATATGCTGGGCATCTGGGCTGCAGCTGGGATCTTTTGATGTGGCCTATATCTACTTCCTGGCAGAGGCTGGGGGCAGGAAGCGAATCCTGAAATTGTGTGGCGCTATGGGAGGCATTCCTAGTGGACTGTAGGTAGGGATTGAAAGGTGCTGATATCACGCCGCCTGCCGCAAAACTTTACTGACTTGAAACCTGCGAAGCACCAATTCTCACTCGTCCTTGAAAAATTCAGAAATTGCTGAATGGATGAAGCCATTTGGCCCATTGTGCCAATTACACTGAATTTGATCCAAGCAGGAGGAATGCAGCTTCACTCGTGATTTTAAGAATCGACTGTGAACAAGAGGGTTATTAAGTGCACCAATGTAAGAAACATTAGCTAATAGACTGACAGCACTGAGAGATTAAAACCCAGCCCTGTCATTTGTCAATCAAATTTTAATGGGCTAGCAGCCAGCCACGTTGAGCCACTTTTGATGAAGAGAGCTGGATGAAATTAGGTAAAATACATATTTTTTGAAAAGCTGAAAGCAAATGGAAGGAGGAAGAGCGACCATTTCTAAATTATTTAAAACTTTGTGTTTTCATGGGTTTATGTTATTGCTGTAATGACGTTTTCCAGATTTACAAATACAGTAGTTCTTTCTGCATCATATGTCCACACTTGATGATAATAATAATAATAACCCTTGCATTTGATATAGTGCTTTTCACGTCTTCTAGACGTCCCAAAGGGCTTCATAGAATATACTGTAAAGTGAATTGACTGCATATTTGTGGGTGAACGCGGCAGCCAATTGCGCACAGCAATGTCCCACAAACAGTCGTAGATTGAAAATGACCAATTTATTATTATTTTTTTGGAGGGATTATTATTAGGCGTGTGGAGTAAGGAAACTTGCCCAAGGTTTCGCCCTCTGCCTGGAATTGAACTCAGGTCTCTCACTTGCAAAGCGAGTGCTCTAACCACTGAGCTACAGGACTTGATAGCTGTGCCTTCAGCTGACTGCTTTTATTTAATCGATGTACAAGTTTATTTTTAATACAGTTTTTTTTGTCTGTATTGTATTTGCTAATTTTGTTAATAATATGAGCTGAAAAGAAATTGATGCGGAGATTTATCTTTTACAATGTGGTGGTTGTACACACAATGCTCTTGAAAGGTGAATTATCTCTTTGCTCTCAACTTACTAATGGTGGCTCCAGTCAGTCTAGCTGCAACAATTGCTCCGCGCTCAAATTGCTGACTGGAACTGCTCTTCTGTTATGTAAATACGATCTTAATGTTGAGTTCAGTTTACCTTGCTGCTGTGAGTGGAATCGAGACTGCTTACCTGCCATCAGCAGCAGTGCCTCATCTATGGAACCAATAAACGTGAGCTCCTCAATTACACGATGACACTCAACTCTACTTTTCTGCCTCAACCATTGACTCCAGAAGCCCTGCTGTTCTGACCGCCTGCCTGTCAGACACCAAGTCCTGGGTGCAGTGGATCAACTACATTAAAGTTGATCTGCTGCGGCATAGGCAGCCACTGGAGCTGGCTAAGGATCGCGTCCTGAAAATGGTATAGATGCTTTGACTGCTGGGTTTACTTAGCACGTTTTTAGTTATGTGTGATTTATGTAATTCCATTTGCACATGTATAACGTGTGCTGGAATTCAAAGAGATGTGTATGTTCCTTAATGGGGTAAAGAAAGCAGTTTGGTGGAAAATAGTAGGGGACAGCAGGGGTCGATGGTAGAGGCAGAAAGGAAGAGTTAGGTGTCATTGGGTAATTCAGGAGCTCACATTATCTCTTATCTAGTGCTCAATTTGTCACTTCTGGGGCAGAGTGCGCATTTCATTCTAGACACATGGAATTGTTCATATGTAGGTGGCATATATGTTGAACTCTGGTTTGGATACTCTTAAGCATGGTGACGGGTTTCCATATCTGTCAAATACACCTGGCTGACCAAAACAAGGTGAGCCATTAGTTGTTGAGTAGGAAAACACAAAATTGTTCTATGCAGTTTGTAGCAACTGTATAGTTGCTACAAACTGTATTGTGGAGTCCTGTAGCTCAGGTGGAGTCCTGTAGCTCAGTGGTTAGAGCACTCGCTTTGCAAGCGAGAGACCTGAGTTCAATTCCAGGCAGGTCAGGGCGAAACCTTGGGCAAGTTTCCTTACTCCACACGCCTAATAATAATCCCTCCAAAACCAAAAACAATAATAAATTGGTCATTTTCATTCTACGACCGTGCGCAATTGGCTGCCGCGTTCGCCCACAAATATACAGTCAATTCACCTTGCAGTGTGTTCTGTGAAGCGCTTTGGGATGTCCTCCTGACATGAAAAGCGCTATATCAAATGCAAGGATTATTATTATTATTATAAAATGTCCTGCAGCTTAGCTCAATATTCCTAGAATAGGAAAAGTTCATACATTCACATCTAACCTTAGTTGAGATTTAAAGTTCCAGCCTGAACAGTGAAGTTTTGGGGGGGTTTAGACCTCTCACGCCCACAAGTTACTAGATCCGTTGATTGAATTTAGGAGGCAATTTGTGTTTTTTGGGGGAGGAGCAGAGGAAGTAACTTGATTCATGCTTCATCGAAAATCCATGCTTAACTTTTTACGGAGGGAGTGGGAATTGAAAACCACGATTATTTTATTATTATTAATGTTTAATTCATATTCAGAATGCGACTTTGCCTACATGTGTGCAAGTCACATTCTTGAAAGCAGAACTCTTATATAATCTATAATATGATTGTAAAATGCTATCTGTACACTTTTGTGTTGAGATCAAGTTGTTGTAAATCTTGTACATTCAAAATGGGGACTCCTGGCAATGTGATGGATGTACCTTGTATTTAGTCAGGGTTTGAAGAGCCAATAATGCAGTCGAGATACATAAATAATGAAATATTTGGCTCTGAGTTGTCACTCAGTTCAAGTACTGGTTTCATAATATCTGCTGAACACCTTATCTGGGTACAGAATGCATCACAGATGCCGTTACCTAGGATAAGGTCTGATTTCTGTGTTCCAAAACATGAGCGCAGATCATTCTTTATAAAGAAAAAGCCATTTTTGTTTCAAATTATGATTGTTGCCACAGTAAGAGTAGAAATAGATTTTTAGAATGAAACATTCAAAGAAAAATATCAAAGAAATGTTAGTATAAGTAGAACTGAGGAGTTAACAATGGGTGATCCATAAAGAGTTGATAAATAAGTTCCAAATTGCTTTTAATATAAACTTGTTTGCCCTTGCAGTTTTTCAGTTTCAGAAAAACTTCAGATTTTCTTGAAGAAGCTTGTTTAACAAGTTATTATTCAAATTTCACATAAAGTTCCTTGTGTTCAAATCACTGAAAGGGCATATTGTAGGAACACGTTTCAATTTACAATGAAATATGTAATTGCAGTGGTAATGCTGAATCACCTGTCTTCAAGAATGCTGTAAAGAGATCACTTTGGTCTGTGCACCTGTAATGCAAGATGTATAGAAGCCACACAATGTTGAACTGAGGGCACACACACTATTGAAGTATAGAATGTATAACTTCTCTACCTACAAATTAGATTTTCCACCTGCCGTTAAGTAATATAGCAAATCATAATGTACCTTTTTGGCCTCACATGGGAAACTACAATGTCATACTAGTCAGGGTATGAATAGCCAATAATGCTGTTGAGAAATGAAAATAAGGAAATATTTGGCTCTACTTTATGCTACTCAAATCGAGGTGTCGTAACATCTGCTCAACACTTTATCTGACTACCGAATGCATCACAGGTGCCATTACTTAGGGTAAGGTCTCATCTCTGAGTTCCAAAATATCAAATACAGATATTCGTTCATGGAATTACCATTAATGTTGGGCCAGTATTTGAGTAAAGAAGCAGCCAAAGACATACATTTGAAATGAGGTGTTTCACTGTGTGCAGCTGCAGGTTTATAGACATTTATATTCTAATTATGTTGTATGTAACAGCTGAATAGGATGTGAACAAATATTGAGTGTTCAATAACCATGTATTTTCCTCTTTATGTTTGCAGGTGGTTTTGGAATGTGCCCTGAAGAAGGATTTGATTTACAATAAGGTTACCCCAATATTTCACCACTGGAAGATAGATGATAAAAAGTTTGGACTTACCTTCCAGAGTCCCGCTGATGCTCGAGCATTTGACCGAGGTATTCGCAGAGCAATTGAAGATCTCACAGAAGGTACACACTTTTTATATAAGTAGTATCACTAAAGAGTAGTATTTTAGGCTATTCATGACAACTAGCCTCATTTGCAGAATATTATTTGAATGAAGAAGGAACATATCTGCTTGTTGAACTATTTCCTTCTAATTACTGAATGAACTTTGGACCTTCTTTACATGGAAGAAAAGTGGCACGGCAGCTTAATACACATTTTCCTCTTTTCTATCTCCCCATGCACCCTCCCAGCCAAAAAATGCACACCATCTACTGATTACAGAGTGGTTTTGGTGTCTGAGAAGTATAATGATTGCTGAACTTTCTTTATATAGGGTAATGTTATATATTGTGGAGTCCTGTAGCTCAGTGGTTAGAGCACTCGCTTTGCAAGCGAGAGACCTGAGTTCAGTTCCAGGCAGGGCGAAATCTTGGGCAAGTTTCCTTACCCCACACGCCTAATAATAATCCCTCCAAAACCAAAAACAATAATAAATTGGTCATTTTCAATCTACGACTGTTTGTGGGACATTGCTGTGCGCAATTGGCTGCCGCGTTCGCCCACAAATATACAGTCAATTCACTTGACAGTGTGTTCTGTGAAGCGCTTTGGGACGTCCTCCCGACGTGAAAAGCACTATATCAAATGCAAGGATTATTATTATTATGTTTAGCCGTGCTACAGAGGAATGCAAGAATGTATTGAAGATATCTGACTTCAAAATATATAATGACAATCTAGGAAATGGATGTGAGCATTGGCATTACAGCAGCAATAATGCATTTTAGATTTAAAAAAAGAGTCGCTGGTTTGAAAAAAAGTGGAAAAAGGTTTCAATTTATGAAATAATTGAGCAACATTTTTTTAAACCCTGATTTGTGTCTCCTTCAATTTGAGTCAAAGGGGATGTTGCTTTATTCACATGCTCTGAGATTAAAACAGGGCACTGGGGATTATTTAAAAGGCTAAACTATCAATCCATTAATTGATAGATATGGATGCGAAAACCTCATCCTAGTCTTAAAAAGGAGTTAACTAACATTAGACTAAATAACAGAAATAGAAATACCCCAAAATAATTTTTATTAATTAAACTTTTGGATTCTACTAGATATGTGGTTCCTTCGGCTCTAACCTGTGTGCTGTAAGAGAATAATATTAATGAAACTGATGCACTTTCCTCCTATGAGTTGTATGTCGTTATTGCAGTAGATTTGACTTCTCTTTCTTGGAGGTAGACATTAATAAAATAGCCATTTCATGGCATAGTTGTGTGTACATGCACCCAGTGAAGGCTACCTGGTCTACGAAATTGGATAGACTAGGAGAGTGACATCATGAACAATGAGTGGGCAAATTAGAGATAGCATGGAGGCTAATGTGAAGGAATTTTGCGTAGTTTTACAATCAGCTCTTTGTAGCGCTTGGAGAAATAACCACCAAATAAAAACTACACATAGCTTATTGTCAAACACAAAGTCACTGCTTCAGTCAGCTGTTTGTGAACCAGAATTAGTGGCCCCATACCTGTCACAAAATGTAACACTTGTTTTAAAGGCCACTATATAAACGTTGAGAGGACTTTTTCTATCCCTTACTTAATTTTCTGTATAATTCTCATTATTGGTTGAATTCTTGTATTATCCAGCTTTCATTTGTTCTCTCCTGGACTCTTATTAGAGGCTCGACGTATCGTTTAGGTTTGTGTCCCTTAGCAGTTCTGGCAGCTTGCTTTGGATTAGTGTGTGTGTATATATAACGTGTGTGTGTGTGTGTATATATATATATATATATACACACACTATATTTCATTTCAATATGTTCTTGCTTTCTCTTTTGTTTTGAAACTACATCTGTTATTGGTCAGCAGCTATACTTGCTTGAAGAGTTATTAGCAATCACTGTTTACGTTATACTATGTATATTATATATTTTCCAAGAGCGCCTCAGCCCTTTTTTTAAAAGATAGCTTCCAATAAAATATGCACTTTATGCCAAGTGCTCTGAACCACGTGCACACCATCCAGCTGTGTGATCAATTAATCAAAATTGTGCTTTTGTTTGTTTCCACATCGGTGCTAACATTTTGTTCACAACAGAAGTATAGCAAGCGAGAGGACTAAAGTTGAGTTTCCTGTAATAATGGACTATGTGGTATATATTGCTCAGAGAATTGGTTGGGAAGTATAATTGCAATGTCTTGCTTTTATCTACAAAACACACAGTCACTCCACTTTACAGTATATCCTGTGTAGCGAATTGAGACGTCTTTCTGTCCAAATGTAAGTTTTATTTTTGTCATAATATTGCAAGAAAATATAGTTGATGCAGAAAATGTGTATATAAGGTAGTTACTGCCAAAGCAGTGTGAACTAGTAACTGTCATTGTTCAACAACCAAGAAATAACTTTTGATGGTAGGGGAGTTGAGTATGTAGACAGGTTTTCAAATATTTTCAATATTTATTTCAACATTCAATTTTTTCATTTTCAAACTGCATGTACAATTATTCTCAGTTTCGTCAATTTCATTTCTGTGTTTTGTGCCATTGACTGTTAGCAATGACTGATGTGCCCCAAAATTGTGCAATGTCTGTGGACAATGCAGTTTCCAGAATTTGCATAGCAAATTCCATATTGAACACCAGAGTTTATTGTGATCATTTAATTTGCTGGAAGCCAATCTTGCAAGGTTGTTTCATTCACCTGGTGCTCTGCACAAAGAGACAACTGAGTCAATTTCAGTTTCCTATCTGAACTGAATAGCATTGAGTGACTTGTGTTTCACATTGACTCAGAAGACTAGAGCTGTTAGAGATCATCCAGAAGAATCTACTTCCTCCATCTCAAGCCATAAGGTTTTATAGCAGTGACTAAACCATTAACAACAATATGACCTTTTTTCACAGGAACATTGACACTTTGTTGAATTATTCTTGGCATCAGTTGATGCCACACTAGTTAGTTTGCTTCTTGCTGATATAGAACCAGAAATGTGAATTTGCCCATGTCATCTGGTCTGATAAACTATTTATGTCACTTCATTTAGCCTTTAGGTAAAAACTGTGTAAGGTTCTAGATACTAATGTAAGATGTTAACTTCAAGTATATCGGTAGCCACAAGGGACTTTGTAACCTTTTACAGTGGTCACACAGGAAAGCTGCATCTTCATTTTGTTTACAATAATAATAATAATCTTCCTTGCATTTGATATGGCACCTTATCACATTTTTGAGATGTCTCAAAGCTCTTCACAGGATATACTGTAAAGTGATGTGACTGTCTGTACCCTGTTTGCCCACCAGTGACTGCTGAATAAATTGAGGTTCTCGTGTCTGATGAGAGTTGGAACTTGCTGCCTGGAGCAGTGACTGAATCAGATGGTCTAGATGTATTCATGATGAAGCTAGACCTTCACATGGAGGAGAGGGAAATAGAAGGGTATGGGAGGGAGTAAAGGAATGGGTGGAGACTTGTTTGGAGTATGAGCACCCGCACGGGTTGGTTGGGCTAAGTGTCTTGTTTCCATGCTTTGTAAATTTTATGCTTAATGACAGCCATATTATCCCCAAAGGAATGCTTTATTCTGAAGATGACTGAGGCTTGCCCTTGAATAAATTCTTGTTAACCATGTAAATTTCTATGGTTCAGGAATATTCTTCACCAACATTTCTAATGTTACTATTTGAACAAGGTTTTTTTCATTTGGCTTCTGCTTTGGATATTGAATGAACTATGCATTAATAATCCAAATCTTATTCCTAGCAAGTGCAGATGTTAAGCAGCAGCTACTTACCCCTCTTCAAGCCATTCTGTAATTTCTATAAGAATGGGTTACTATTATTTATGGTTTTACTTTTGAAACGCACCAAGACATTTGAAATGTCTGTGTGTGTATGCGTGCTTGTGTAATAAAGTGTCACCATAAAGGAAGTAGGTAAAAACAAATTTGAGATTTTTAAAAAAATGCATCAGCTTTATTTTTGATATTTCCATTAACTGCTGATAACTCTTCCCATTTTAAACAAATGAATGTAAAAGCAGATACACTTCTGTTCCAGAAGTAAGTATTTTTTTAAGTGTTTGAAATTGCATTAAGCTTGAGGCTGATGGCATTGTATTTTGTCAGCAGGTTGCCAGGACCCTTTCAGTGAAGCAGCAGTCTCTGATGATGGGTTTCAAGTAAGTAAATATGACAAAAAAATTAAGTTCACTAAGAAGCCTTTATCACTCAAGGTTTTCTGAAAAACAGATGGTTGGAATGTTTCAGTATTATAATGAAAAATAGGGGGAAAAACAGAAGGTTTGTGGTCATGTGGTCATATTCCTCCTCCCACTAATATTTTATCGCTTTCAGCTATAAATCTTCAGAGACAGGGATACTCTTGAGATGAGAGTGCAAAGTTCTTTATACATACAGTTACTAAGTATTGTAGTGTTCATGATATCATGGGCACTTTTTCAATCTATTTAAGTACCAATATTACCTAAGTAGAATCTGTAAATCTGTTACCCTATGCTTGAATTGGAAATTCAGTTCAGTATTGTACTAAGTGAATGAGTTTGAAGTTTGTTTCAGAATATATTTGCTCAAGTTTAGCATTATGTAAATCTGTTGTAGCATTATCTAAAGCGCTCTGAGACGTTACCCTGCGTGGAGGGCGCTATATAAGTGCAAGTTGTTGTTGTAGCTAACATAAATCTGGAGCTCTATGTACAAATGTTGCCTGTACATGCCAAGAAAACACATACCATAACTTTCAAGTACTTCATCAAATGGTTCATATACACAATGTCTGTTCCAAGCTTTACATTACTGATCAGGTGCTTAACATAAATTTGCAGATTTAATGTATTACAGTACTTAACATGTGTATTAAATAGACCATTAAATTTTTTTTAGTTACCGAAGTAATACTTTCATTCTAAAGAAGACTTTAAACTTTTTAACGCATTTAAGGTTTTGTTCCTCGTGAATATATCAAATGCAGGCAAGGATTATTGATCTATTTTGTTCTACTTATGGATGCTTCAGATTCATGTGCATGTGCAGTTCATGACATTTTATTTAAAATGTTTTGCGGGCAGGTGTATTGGCATGACTGACTGAAAACCATTTTTTTGACTGGGTTGAAGTTAAAATAGAAGCTCTAAAGTTTCTGGCCACAGGCATAGGAAAGATGAGTAATGCATCAGTCTAAAAATTGTCAACTTTGTTCTTTTGCTTCAGGCAACTATTTGACTAACTTCTTTGTCAGTGTGAGGCCGTCCAGCATTGTGCCAAAAGTTTGAAAGACCTATGATTTATTCTTTCAGTCTGAAGTGGTTTTGCTTTAGGCAAGCAGGATGTAGTTTTGAATGGTTTGCACAACAGACAAAGGTAATCTCTACTTCTGAGGACATATCACCTACCTAAAAGTCTTGCATTAAGAAGAGAAGGAAGATCTAAAATTCTGTATGCAACACCGAAAGGGCAGTACAACCTTCTTTGATCACTTTTGATTCAACTTTTTTTCACTAAAGTAATCTTACTTGTGGTTTGCACTGAGTAGCAGCAGAATTACAGTAGCATTAAGGCTAATTGTCTTGAATGGAAGTAATGTTAAGCAGCGCTACTGTTGGCAATTGTTCAATAATGGATAAGGCATTGAGACTGCTACTGGTCACACAAAAGCTATGCACTGTAAATTGGTGGTTTTTGCTTTCTACAAAAACGTTAAAACATTACCATTACTTGTAATGCATATGGCATCTAAAAGTATCAAGAATAACCCCAATGTCAATTTGCATTGTCAGCATGATATCGAAATGCACTTATAGCACAGCCACAAGAATGAAATAAGTGCACACAAAGCTCACATTCACTTCAAGACAATATGTTCCTGAATGTGCTATCCTTTGCAATCAGTTTTCCATCTCAAAACATATACCAAATAACTACCACTTGACACTCGGTTATAACTGCACACCTCAACCAGTAATTGAGAACAAATTTCTATTCTTAATTGTGCATTAAGAAAGCCATTGTGTTGATGAGCCAATTAGTATAAAATAAAAGTTTGTTTATAAAATAAAATTTTATTTTATTTATAAATTATTTATAAAATAAAAATTAATTCGGAGTATAAGTTGGTAACTGGTGAAAATAAGCCCAAATAGTCAATTTAATTTACTAAAACAATTCTTCCAAGTTGAAGGAATCTTGAGCAATGAATTGAATATTGTGTGTTAGTTAGAGACACAGCTATTTGAGTGGAAGCTAAATTTAGTGCTGAAATGAATGTTTTTCGGAACTGCTTCTTCTGAGCTGAGCACATTTATTTTTCTGGTTTCCCTTCAGTTCCAGCCCTTTGACACTGAGTTCCGTTTTTTTATATTTAAAACCTAGTAGGAACTGTAAATGCTGACTTAACTCAAGTTAATGTTTTTTTAGATTTAAGTGGACACTGCAAACTGTACGATTTCCAACAATTTGATGGGGACTTTTATCAAAACTTCTTTTTCCATTTTAACTAGAATATGTTTTTGAAATAAAAAAAAGCTTCACTGATTAGACTACACATAGGACATCCCAGGTAATAATGCTTGCATAACTATGTACATGTACATTATGAAAATGTCATGTAGAGCAAAAACTGATGTTGGAAGTCCTTATTTTGGTTACTTCCTTTTGCATTCTCTACCAAAATAAAACTGTTGTAGTGAACTGTAGGTTAAATTGGTTCATTAACTTTTTCCAATATCAAGCTTGCACATTCCTCCACAATATCCATTTGTGGATGGCTTGTTGCATATTTTCACAATGTTTAATTGATTTTTGAGTGAACTTGTACCTACTCAATCAAGTAATACTACTTTTTACATTATACACTCTGTTCATATCGCATAGGAAGTAAACTACAAGAATCAGTGACTTATGGGAAATCTACTCCACTAATCCTTCCTGTTATTGAATCATGTTAGGATATTGAAATAAAAGCAGAACATTTTCTTATAGCTGTTAATGTGGTGTTTTCTTGAACCCAAGTCCACAGAATGGAGAAAAGAAAGAGTCTCGTACTTTGAAGACAGAGAACTGGGTCTGGATCCCATTTTCCCTGCAGCTGTTTTTTTTGTCTTTGACTTTTTTGCAGCTGGAGTCGATTTATTACTTTACCCATCATCCATCTGAACCATTTTAGTAGTTTAAAGAAAAAAATCCAAGGAAACATCTCTTAGCAACCACAGGACAGTAATTACTATAACAGCAGCTGGGAGAAAACCAGATTTCCGTTTAACATAAAAGCTGCCATGGGTTACTTTTTACAGACAGACTTTGCCAACCTTTGTCAGTATAGAACAGTGTAGTCACAGAATGTGGGTGGTGATTCAGTTTTTCTTAAAATCACACTGCATCCTGTTGTTTATAAACTGTTCAGGCATAATTCATATATGTCTTTTCACTTGGACGTAAAACCTGATAATTGTGCTCATTCTAGTAATTCTAGGATCTGGCAGTTTTTTTTAGAATTATATTGTGACAATTGAGCATTGTTTTAAAACCTATGACCTAAATGCAAATAGCTCAGAATAAATTTTACAATATAGCGTACCCGTTAACACTTAATTTCAATCTATTACTTATAGGTAAGGCAACAAACTACTTCGGTCTGTTATACAATGAAGCTCTAGGCCAAGGTGTTAAAGCATCTCAGCAGTTTCTTATTCTGTTGTCAAAATACTTCTACATTCACTGATACAGCCAACGTGAGATGTCGATTATTTTGGCTGATATGAATAGATGGCTATAGATAGCTGTCCAAAGTCTGCTCTAATGACAAGTCTGCTCCAAGCCTATCCTTTCTTTAACCACCAAACTAATCAGGATGAGGTGTGAACGACATGCAGGGAGTGAGGCTCTATTAATATTTATTGGGCAGGAGTGCCAATTTTCTGCACTCAATAAGGTACGAGGTGCAATTCAGTGCCTTGAGCAAGTGGTCATTCTTCATTTGTAGCTGAATATCAGTAGGGACCCAAGGAAGTCATCACAAAGCCATAACCTTGGTTGATTCTTTGGCTTTCCTCAAACCCCTATTGCAGAGAGTATGGAAACATGGGCACTAGGAAGGGCTTTGGGGGATATCGGGAGGGGGGAGAGGGGGGAATGTCAAGGAAGCCAAGCAAGTGGCTTCAAATTTTGGACACTTCAGTTTATGAGATGCTCACACTTTCAATTGTAGGGAGGGAGACTGAAGGAGGTGGTTGAGATTGCGGGTTCTGGCTGGAAATATAGTAGATATGCAGTAGTATCCAATTATTTTTGTTTCTTTACTCTATCTAAATATCTTCAGTTGTATTTGGAAATGTTGTACATACATTTGTACAGAATTTATGCTGACAACAAAACTGAAAAGTGGATTTACTACAGTGCTAAACCGAAAGCTCAAGTTATTTGGTGTCAAATTATTTCATGCAAATAATGCAAAAGATTGAGTTTCATATGTTGCACACTAAGTATGTGGTGTTTCAGTGGAATCTGTGAGTTGAAATACGATGCCCTCTGGTGCTCATAGTGTGAAACTAGTAATCCACCATTTTATGGTTGCAGTAGAAGTCCCTGACTCATTAAAACCAAGTGCAGGACAGAATTAAGGTTCATATGTATTATTTTCCAGGCACCGCATGAAAATGAAACAAATTCTTTAACCAGAAAGGAGAGAATTTTACAACATGATACTATAGTGACCAATGAACCTTGCAGAAGCTGCTATGTTAGGACCCAACCATTTGAGGAATTCAGTTCTCGACGATTGTATTTTCCTACTCAGCAGAACCAGGTAACGATCATTCCTTCAGTCCTTTTATTTAGCTTTATATATAAACAATTGGATTTGGTAACATTTCTTTTAATGGAAATCTAAAGTCTTCATATGGAAATGTGTATGTTTATTTAATTTACAGGTGTTTACATTTTCATAACTTAAAAATTCCCTCATAGAGCTCTTTGTTGCGGTTTAAAACCTTAAAAAAGTTTAGAGTGGCCATAACATTCCAGTTGTGGGCAAAATAATTGTGAAGATCTCTTTAAATTCTTCCTAACAAAGGTGCCTCAGATATGTCTACATCCAAACTAACTGGTAAAACTGAAGGTGTTCCTCAGTAGTTTCTGTTAGAAATTGATTTGAATGTATAATTCACAGCACTTTTGATTTCCTGCAATGAGGAAACTTTTAAAATCTTTTTCAGATCATGTTGAAATCAACGAGGCATGTCAGTTTTCAGGATGATGATGAAGTAGTGAGGATAAATCCTCGAAAGGACGTTTTGATTAGGGGCTATGAAGATTACAGACATCCCATTGTACGGAAATGTGAATTGGAAACTGAAGGAAATGCGTATGTGTGTTTCAAACCTGAGTCTAAAAAACATGATTATGTATATCCTTCTGTGGAAGGGATTGAATCTGATCCTATTAAAGATTCAAAAGGGTCTGTGGTATTTAAAACACAGCCCTCACCTTCACAAAAATCAAAAAAATCTAAGCGGAGAAAAGAGGATGGAGAACGCTCTCGTTGTTCATATTGTCGAGACATGTTCAATCATGAGGAAAACCGGAGGGGACAATGTCAAGATGCCCCAGACCCCATCAAGAGATGCATTTATCAAGTGAGCTGTATGTTGTGTGCTGAGAGTATGCTCTATCACTGCATGTCGGACTCTGAAGGAGATTTCTCTGACCCATGCTCATGTGACACTAGTGATGACAAGTTCTGTTTGCGATGGCTAGCACTTATAGCCTTGTCTGTCATTGCACCTTGTATGTGCTGCTATCTTCCTCTGAGAGCATGCCACCACTGTGGTGAGATGTGTGGATGTTGTGGAGGAAAGCACAAAGCAGCTGGGTGATGTGACAAGTCAGAAGCCAAGTTGCGCTTAATATTTTCTCTCCAGGCAGCATTATCGCTGGGTCTTTGGGTTCTGGCCCACTGAATAGTATTTAAAACCAGCACGAATTGCAGAGGTGAGCGAGTTCCCGAGGCTTGATGAGAAGGAAGTGGTGCGTTTCTGATGATTGTGCCACTTCACAAGGTCGCCATGTCTAATACCTTTCATGGCAAACAGCCTGTTTTGTGAAGCAGACGGTTCTTTGCCTTTCAGCTGTACAGATTGAATACTGTATGTGAATACACAGCTGAAGGGATTCATTTTGCAGTTTTGTACATTCAGAGTTGGTTATGGGGCCTGGTTACTCACCTGAAGCTTTTATGGATGAGATTCAAATATTAGACTAAAAGAGCACTAGATAACCATGGTTATGGTTTATATCGAAGAAAGATTTCACCTTGTTCTAGGCTTTGGTTTTAATAAGTATTGCAAATCTTGAGTGCATTTACAGAAACATCTATCTGACATTCAGGTATTCTTATTGTCTGAATACAGTAATTACAATTCTTTAATATTGTACATATAAAATCTCAAACTTTATAACTAAATTTGACGTATGGCCTGTAACTCTTTTAATTTAAAAGTAAATCCTATCCTTCCCAAAGTCATGTCAACACTTTTCATAATAAGCTAGTTAACTCCTCGATATCTAACATTTTCATTTTAATCCATTGCAATATGCATGCTTAGTATTCATGTATGATTTTGTATAACCGGTTAATGTTTTTACATCTTCCTCTGTAAATTAATCTGAGTCGAATATGTGAGTAATTTTGTCCAAAGCCTAAAACTAATGTTATATATATATAATACACACACATCTCTGTCTATATATAATATATAGGTGAATTAAGCACATTCGATTTTTTTTCTGTGAACCTAACAATTGCAAACAAGTTAATATTTTGATTTTTAGATATTTTTAAACGTTTCTGATATATTTGCTCAACCAGCAAGTTTTCTGTTTGTGGTCCAAGGATATCAAATGGGTTGCAGCATTGCCAGAACTGGGAATTGATTGTGTTTGACTATCTAATGGGTAAAGTACATGTAAATTCATGTGCTCGGGCCTGAATTTGATTCAGCAACCTACCAGGAATATTGTAGATGCGATTATATTTTTTAACAAAAAGGTCCTGTAGGTGGTTGATTTTATTAAAACAAATTCAAGTTTAATTTATAAATTAGTGTAATCTGGAATACTTTTATGCAATGACCATATTAAGCTATGCCATTTTAATTTATGTCGCTTCTTGAAATTATTAGGTAAATGCTTTTGAAAAAGTTGGAGTAACCACTAGGGTCTAAATTTCCTCTGACCATTATGCACACAGGCACATCCGTGTTTCCAGTTTGAGATTAGGTCAACAATGCAATTTGGAATACTTTAAATTATATGACATTTCAGACAATGTGGTGTTTGTTTTGCAATTTGGACATGCATAGGAATAGATAAATTAAATCTATAATGTTTATTAAATTATGCAATGAGAGACCACTGTATATGCAGTATCATTCTGGGAAACCCTGGATTGAACGGTACGCAGTGCAAATGGTACATTTGGAGGAGCAGAAGTATATATTTGGGGATGAATTGATTCCATTCATTGATCCAGATAAAGTATTTTTTCAATTTTATATTATAAAATTTGTTTTAAAATCAAAGAATTATCCCCCATCAGTTGGGAACATCCTCCATTTTGTACACAGTCCATTGATTGTGACTGGTAAACCCATGTAAAGAATAAATCTAAATATTTAAATTGTCCAATTAGTACTGACTGACAACATTAATTTACTTTGCCTATCTGGGAAAGGCGTGAGAAAGGTCTGTGTGTGTTCGTGTGTGTGTGTGTATGTCTACCCCTGTCACTACAGAGGGGAAAATCAGGCCTTAGCTAGTTATACCAGGACATCTTTGTGCTAGAATTTAATACTTATAAATTTGATCAAACATTTATTAGCAGGGAAATTGGGTTTAGAGCTTAGTCCTTTCAGGCTGCCCAGGTTCTGATTTTTAAATATGTAAATAACCCGATTTTTGTAAAATAAATACTCCAAATTAGATTGCATTGATATTTATCACAGCTGTGAGTAGGTGGGATGAACTGACAGCATTCTGTACATAGGCCGATTTGAGTATTATTTCACATTGAAAAGTAGAGGCTAAAGATATATAAATGACTTAATTTTAAATAAAGAGCTTGTTTCTAGTTTTGTACTTAATAACAGAATGGCTTTGTTAAGAATGTTGTGTGGTGATGGGGGCAGTTCTGCATAAATCATTCTTCACTGCAGGATTTCTATCCACGTGGTTGAGTTTTGATTTTGTCAACCTTTGTAAGCCATCTGCACATTGGGGACATTTTTATTATTTTAAATTGTGATCCAAGTGTTAGCATGTGTTGTGAAAACTCCCTGCTTGTCCACTATATATGTACTGTTCTTGCACTTGTTAACTTTAATTGTCTAGTTTTCTGTTTAACTTTTAAAAATTGAAATTCCATTTATAGCATAGCTTTATTTAGACTTAGTTCAGTTATTTTTATGAATACTGATGACTGAGGAGCATATCTGGTTTCTTGTTTTGTCTTACCTACAGTTTATTAATATCCACTGCAGACAGCCATGATCAAAGCAAGGATTCCTTTTTTCAGACAGAACATATGAGTGTAAAAATTCAGTATTGATACTGGCCAGAAAATAAGGTTATTATTAAATGCTGATGTGATTGATCTAGTCCATAATACATATTTTGGGTTCTTAGTCCAAGTGCTTTGAAAGGATTCATCAGAAGACTTCAACATTTCACCCTGTAAGGTTTTTTTTCTCTCATATATCCAGTCTCAGCAAGTGCAAAACATTTTTAAGATTTGCATTTCCTCCCGTCTGGAATCTAGTCAAGAGCATATGTGTAAACTAGCTTGTCAGCTTCCGTTTCATTGATTAAATGTTAGAGTTGCATTTAAGTAAATCCCATTACCAGCTTACCAGCTATTGAGTTGATAGTGACCATAATAGATTGCACACTAAATTATTCGTTGAAGTCTATACTTCTGGGTGCTCTGTGTACAGCATGTTAGCAGATGCAAATCACCAGCTGCCTCTTCACACGAAGTAAGACCTCAATCCACATGGCATTCCTGTTTCCCTTTACTCTTCGATACCTGTTCCACCTATGATGGAATAAGTAAGTTCTTTGTAGATAATTTTCCAGGTTAAAGCTAATCTTCAGGGCAGACTTGGTAGACTTTTACATAGAGATTGAGGATACTTTATTCTGCTACAGTGCTGCTTGGACTACAGTATCTAAAGATTCAACCAAAAAGTGCTTTCCCTCTCTTCCTCCCCAATGTGCAGATGCAATCAGTGTTGGTAACTGTGTTCTATTGAAGATCATCAATGAAGAAAAACAGTTGCTATTATGGTGGAAACCTTTTTCTAGTCATAAATTTGGAAGTAGACTTTTACTTGCCAAGACTGTTAAAACATTAAGTAATTTTCACAATATAAATGTAAACTGCCTTTAGTGATTTATTTTGGGTTTTGTAATTGCGATGCTTGTATTGTGAGCTGTAAGAAGGTGTGATTTCCCCAAGAGAAGAACTTGCTGGCTGTAGCAAAATGTTTTGTATGTTGTATTGTGTATGTTATGACCCCAGAATAATGAGGCACTAACTAGTATGGTACATCTCCTAGCCATGTACTGTAATTTATATGCAATGTCTGCTTTAAAGGTTCAACAGCCTTAAAGGGTTGTGTGCCAATAACTCTAATTTTAATGGAAATGTTCCCTCTTGGTACTGATGATGCATTTGTGCACTCAAAACGTGTCATGGTGTATTTTACTTTATTTTAAAATTAAAATTGGCTGTGCTTTTAGAATCTGAGGCATCAGCAAGTGGGGAAATATTATGATTGAAGTTGCAGAGTGCTCAGTACCTGGAGGGGCTCTTTCTTTTAAACACTGCCTATTGTTTGCTTAGTGCCATTTCCTTCACGCCCAGCCAACCTCCAAAAAGTGCCTCACTTGTACATTAAAAACTCCATTTAAACCTAAACTATTATTGTACTTGTATTTGTTTTTAGATATTTTTACTGTTGTGTTAAGAAACCAAGTATATGATGTACAGTTTAGTTTGATTCCTGCCATAGATGTAATTTCTTAAATGTATGAGGATCTAGCTTGTTAAGATATAGTGTAAATATGCATATATAAGTTTATAACTGATTTATGTTACATCATACACTTGTAATTTGACATATCGAATAACATTTATCATAATAAAACAGTACATTTTAATTTCTTTATATTCTGTCACTTAGTAATCTCTGATCATGGTGACCCAAACAGTGTTTTTGCACCATAAACAAAATGTTACCCAAATCTTGTGAGCTTTTTTAATACATTTTTAAAAGTCTTCAACAGTCATCTAACAAGTTCTATTTGGAGCTCCATAAGTTGAATGTTAAAATGGTGAGTGAGTGAAGTCATTAAGTCATTGAACACACTGAACTCTTGTTTTTCATACCTATGAGTCCCTGGCAGATGGGAGTAGTCAAGTATTCTTGCAATGCTTCTCGTCTTCAGTGATGATTTTACTCTTCACACTGAGAACGTTCTCTAAAGCACAGTGGCAGGCTGCAGTGCACGTGCTACATGTTTAATCCAGTCGTTACACAACCATTTCACATTCATATAACTCGTTTCATATTGAGAAGATGTCTCAAAGCGCTTCACAGAATTGGCTTGAGATGGGGGAGGCAAGATGTGTGTGTGGCGGGGGGAGCAGGGTTAGAGGTGTGGCGGGGGGAGCAAGGTTAGAGGCCGTGCCTTCAGCCCCTATGCCCCGAGGCTCTGGATCTGCCTTCCTCACTCCCTTCACCTCGCTCCCTCCCTTCCCATTTTCAGATCTCTGCTGAAGACCTTTCTTTTCGACCGTGCCTTTGGTCACCTTCCTCCCTCTCCCCCTGGCTCGGTCCCGGGATCCGTTACTGTAAAGCGCTCTGAGACGCCGTCCGGCTTGGAGGGCACTATATAAATCCAAGTTGTTGTTGATCAAAAGTAGTAAACCTAAGCAGAAAAGATGCAACAAAAGGCCATATTTTACTTCAAAGTATTATCTATTGAGGGAGTGCCATATTGAATCAAACAAATCAGTTTGTATCCTTTTCATTTCACAACATTCTGATATTGAGGTTATTAATGCTACCATTTCACTTGAACAAATATAACCTGAAAGACAAAACATTTTTGTTATTGTTGGATTGTTTATATGACTGGATAAACATTGACCCATTGTATCTCGTATCCAGCAATAGTATTCTGTCGCTAGAGTTCCAGGTTTTTCACCTCCATACCAAATAAATGGACCTTCTATCATGCAAGATCAACTCTTTGGAGATTGCACCTCACCTCTTTTTAAATCAAAATTACTACCCAACTGACCCGAGGGTAGAATGAACTCATCATTGCACAGTCACCTGGAGTAAATATGCAAAAGAAATAACATCCATTTTGGTAAATGTCCTTAATAGGATGGAGTGATTAGTAAAGCTATGTAGAAGGGTTGAATAAGCTAAGTTAGGACAACTGATTGTGGGTTTGACTCCAGGTTGGCCCACTCAGCCTTGTGAGGTTAATAAGTAAGTACCATAGGTGTTTTTTTTTAAAAAAAGTGCTATGGCATTAAAGCAGAGAGCTGAGTGGGATTTCTGGGATGCATGTTAAATGTGTTAAATGCAGGTTGTATTTCCTTGAGTCTTCAATGATGTCTACACGCTAAAAGCAAGGCAGATCTAAAGTAATCTAAGGCAGTGGAAGGTGTAGGTGTGGTAGCACTCTACCAAAACTCCAGGCTGAATCTAAATACAAATTTTAAACTATGAGCTCAAAAGTCCCGTCATGGGGCTTTGAGATGAGGTAAGAAGCCAAGTGGGGAAAGGTGCCTTCAGCTGCGGTGGAAAAGGTCGGTGGAAAGGCCACCGGACTAATAATTTTTGCATTTGATTATAACGTATTTTGCATCAGGAGGTCGTCTCAAAGGGCTCCACAGCATTTACTGTAAAGTGTAGTGACTATTTTGTCGGCAACCTTGATAGCAGTAGCCCATGTTGTGCTCTTTTTAAAAAAAAAGTATGTGTGTTGGCGGGGTGGGGGGGGAAGAAGGGAAACCCCCAAACGAATGACAAGCACGGAAAACAGATGTTTATTCCTGGATTCATCTCGTATGCTGGAGAGAAGCGAGTTTCTCCACTGTCCTGACCAACAAACAATCCCCCAAATAAAATGGGTCTCTCACTCCATGGCCGTTTGTGGGACGTGTGTTGTGCACGAACCGATGCCGCGTTTCGCCCGCAAAAACAATGCACGGCCCCGTGCACTTTACAGTACACCAAAGTGAAGCACTTCGAGACGTCCTGACCAAAGGTGATGAGGCGACTCAAAAGATGGGTGTGAGTCCCTTCCCCACCCCCCCCCCCCCCACCCCGCCCCCCCATCAACCACATCCATTTGCAGAGAAACAATTGCAGCGCCTGCTGTAGCGACCTGGTGCCGCCAGGAGAGGGAGACGGCGCTGTGACTGGATGGGCGGCGCATTTTTTCAAACCGTAAGCTCGGCAGCTCGCGCTGCGCCGTGTGCGTGTGTGTGTGTGTGTGCGCGTGTGAGAGAGACCAGGGACCAACCGACAAGGGGCCGCCCTCCCGCCCAGAGCCCAGATACTGCCCTCGGCACGACTGGGACTGGAGGCCTGTGGTGGTGTTCACGGAGGCTCGGGGCCGTGTGCGCGGGTGGGGGGAAGCAGCCCCCCCGGGAGCCGGTTGATAGTCGGCGCTGGCCTCTGGTCACCGCGGCCTTGGAACATGCTGGACGACATCTTGGACACCCTGGACTCCCTGGGGTAAGTGCGACCCCCCCCTCCCCCCCCCGCCCCACACCCACAGGGAGGGAGAGAGGGAGAGGGAATGAATGTTTATTGCTGGATTCATTATGTTTTGAAGAGTGGGGTTGTGTGTGTGGGAGTCGGGGGGGGAAGTTTTTCTCTCCCACTGTCCTGGCCAACAATTCCTCACCCCACCCCCACCCAATACCCCCCCCCCCACCCAATACCCCCCCACCCCCACCCAATACCCCCCCCACGCCCACCCAATACCCACCCCACCCAATACCACCCCACCCCCACCCAATACCACCCCACCCCCACCCAATACCCCCCCACCCCCACCCAATACCCCCCCCACCCCCACCCAAATAAAATTGGCCACTCAATCCATGGCTCTGTTTGTGGGACATCGCTGTGCGCAGTTGGGCCGCATCGTTTCGCCTACAGAATACACAGTCGCTCCACTTTAGGCTATATTCTACGAAGCGTTTTGAGGCGCTTCGATGGCGTGATGTATCAAATGCAAGGATTATTATTGTTGTTGTTATTAGAATAGTACACAAATTGCTGCAGTGGAGTCCTGTAGCTCAGTGGTTAGAGCACTGGCTTTGCAAGCGAGAGACCTGAGTTCAATTCCAGGCAGAGGGCGAAACCTTGGGCAAGTTTCCTTACTCCACACAGAGCCTAATAATAATCCCTCCAAAAACAAACAAAAAAACCCAATAATAAATTGGTCATTTTCAATCTACGACTGTTTGTGGGACGCTGCTGTGCGCAATTGGCTGCCGCGTTCGCCCACAAATATACAGTCAATTCACTTTACAGTATATCCTGTGAAGCGCTTTGGGACGTCTAGAAGACGTGAAAAGCGCTATATCAAATGCAAGGATTATTATAAAGGCGCCCTTAAATCTCCGCCAGCCCCACGTAAAATATCACACTCCTGTCAAACCTTGCTGCGGCAGAATCCTGCCTGAAATGTAATTTAACTCGACTGGAAAGAAATCCGGTGCTGTGGCGCATCTTCTCCCATCCTCGATGAGCTGAGCATATGGAGCTGGGATGTATGGTTGGTTTCCCGTGGTCTTTCTGCTTTGGTTTAAAAAAATAACCCTTCAGCCACACTCCTACCTCTCTGTCCTCCCTCATCCCAACCGCTGTGCGCAATTCGCTGACGTGTTTCGTCCACAATATATACAGTCAAATAACTTACAGTGTATTCTGTGAAGTGCTTTGAGAAGTCTCGAAGACATGATAAGGTGCTATATCAAATGCACGGATTATTATGTCATTAAGTGGTTTGAGGCAGCATCTGAAAATGTCGACTCTAGAGTCCCATGTTGTTGATTTCTCCAACTTTCACTTTTATTTTGTTAAAGCAAACTGCTTAATTTTCTTATGTGATTTTAATTTCCCTATTTAATGTCTAGTTGTGATATTTACATCTTCTATGGCTCATTGATTGTTCTCTCTCCACGTTAATGCAGCTACACAGGATCCTTGTTAGAAGAAGGTGCTCTTTTAAAGGCAGCTGAGACGGGACCATCCTCCTCAGAATTTATTGAACTCTGTGTTTGGTTAAGTTCAGAGATTAAACTATTGCTAAATTTGGAAGAAAGCATAAATGCTATCACTAGTAAGTACCATACTTTTTGCCGGATTGAGATATATTTCTCCCACAAATATACAGTCAATTCACTTTACAGTATATTCAGTGAAGTGCTTTGAGACATCTAGAAGACATGAAAAGCGCTATATCAAATGCAAGGATTATTATTAGTAATTTTATTGTTCAATACGTTCAAACAAAATAGGAGCAGTAAACTCTGACTTGGACTGTATAAAAAGCTTAATATTCTCTTGAAGAGAATATTCTCATACTCGTCATTTTCTCTTCTTTCCAAAAATATGAAATTCAAAGCGGTGTGGCATAGTGAGTCAGTGCACCACTTTATAGAAGAGATTTCTAATTGAAACATTTCTTGATTAACATTGGGTAATAATAGCATAATATATTTTAAAAATAGCAAAATATTAAGGCGAATGTACTTTAAATGCAGACAGGCAAACACAATTTGCTCCTAGTTATCAAGCAGGCAGAAATTCTGCAAAATACATTTTCTTGTCGTACTCTCCAATCTCTTTTCAAGACTTGACATTCCCCATTCCTTTATACATGTTCAATTTGATGCTGCTTTATTTCCACAGATGTTTAACTTGTAATACAGCACTACAATTTTTATTACTCAAAGTATTTAATTCCTGTTCTCAACTAACTGGTCCACAAGTTTCAGAATTTGGAATGATGTTTTCTTGATTAAATTTGTTTGATAATTGGAAAGTCCATTTTGTATTGACATGTTTATGGTGCTGAAAATTCTTGAGTAGCTTAAAACAGCTCATTTGTTCATTGGTTTGAATGAGTACCTTAAATGTCATTGCTGAAATTATTCTTATATGGCTATGCTACGGGAAGATGTAGAACGGATTATAAACTGAATGGAATGAGATTCAGCATGTAGCTATAGAGCAGTCAGCTAAGTACATTTGGCAATAAAAGTTTAAACTCTGTTAAACATTTTAAATGTTTTTCAACATTCAGAAATGAGTTGTTTAAAATGTAGAATATATCTAGATTAAAATATAAATGACAATACATAAATAACTAGCTTTATGGATATAGCCTAAATGATCCGTTATATTGTTCAAGATTGAAATAAATTTTGGTGTTGCACATTACGCATTTGTCAAATATTAATATGGAAGACAACATACATTTTCTGTATGTTGCATTTAAATCAAAAAAGGTGCTAAAATGTAGTTTTCTAGTTCCCTGCTTCACAACCAGATGTTTTGCCATGCATATAAGTCCCTGTTATTTTGATATACTGCTCCGACCTTTGCTGAGTGAGTTTTTTCAGTTCTCCACTAGATGGAGCACTTCAGTTGTGTTGAAGCATTGACAAGAATTCCTGAGACATCTGTGACTCCAGGATGAGTCCCTTCGGGGAGAGAGTGCGTCTTCCATTCCAACAATCTATCTCTGGAATTTCCATGTGTAGGTGGGATGCATGGAATTCTCAGCTTGGTTTGGATACTCTTAACCATGGTGATGGGCTTCTGCATGTATCAGACACCCGGCTGCCCCAAAAAGAGGCGACTGTTTCCTTGGTCCTGGCTAAATACAAGTGGCTTCTGCAAGGAGTGAATATAGCCCCCGTCTCTCTCTTCTTTCCCCTGTCCTATTTCACATTTGTGTTATATTTTAATTCTACTGATGTGCTGTTTAAGGTGAAGATGACATTGAGGGCTTTCTGCTAGAGACTAATGGCTTCCTAAGAGAGATGTCTTGTCCATATTCAACACTTCTTACTGGAGATCTTAAAGAAAGACTGAAAAAGAAGGAAGACTGCTTAAAACTATTATGTAAGTTCAACTTATTTTTTTACAACAAAAGTCAGTTCTATCAACTTTCTATTAGTGATTTATCAAGGGGTCAATAATTTACCTTAAAGAGTAAACTAAAGAAAAGGGCTGATAAATGGGACTGAAAGGATTGCTCTTAAAAGAACCAGCACAGACATGATGAGTCAAATGGCCTTCTGTGCTGTAAATTGTTATTGTTCTGTCATTTTGAAAAGTCTCTTGTCAGGTTGCTGCTAGCTTCACTTCGGTGCACCATACACAGGAAGAATCACCAATGCCACTTTGCAAACAAAAGATTCTTCCTGTCTCATTGGCGGTGCCTGAAGACATGGAAGTCAGGCATTTATTAGCACTTCGCTTATAGTGCAGGCTCTGAGCTATTAAGCCCAGACAACCCTTTTATGGTCTGTCAGCATTGGGACACTTTCATCTGAAGATTCAGGCTCAGCCTGAGTCTCAATCATTCACCACAAGGTGTCTCCAAAGTATAATATACCATATTTCAGAAAATGTTGAGCTTTGGCAGACTGTTTATCCAAATCTGCCAGCTGAGATTTAGAGAATTTAATTATTCATTAATTGTATTTTCCATATACATTTTTAAAATTATTTAACGACTGGAGAGATTTGAATGAAATTACCCCAATACTGCAATTGAGTGTCAGGTTAGACTATATGAGTTCCAGGTCCCAACGTGGAACTTGAACCCACAACTTTCAGACTTGGAGATTAGATTGCTGCCAACTGAGCCAGGCTGACACCTAATTGAACACAAAATTACAGTATTAAGCCATAAGTAGATTTGCTTCAAAACTATTCTTGGCTATTTACTTTTCTTTGACACTGTTTGTAAGTACAGTACTTGGCAAAATATTGATCTGTCAACCTACTAAAGTATCCATTTTAACAGAATGTATAGTAAGCAGAACCTTTTCCAGTTATTTGTTGTTTTTATATTGTAGTTTTGTGCAAATCTAAGTGTGTGTGTGTTAAACTGACATGAACTACGATTTGGATTAGGAGATGATTTTGCACCAGTTTGGTTTCACACTCTGTTGCTTAACTACAGCCAATATGAAGCAAGCTTTCAAAGTTCGTGTTAGTCCATTGAACTTTCATTAAGGTTTTTAATAGTTCAGAGTTGCTGAACAATAGGCTGCTTAATATTAATAATGAATATTTGGGTGCCCAGGTAGCTGAGTTCTGCATATACACAGACTGCCAGCTTGCTTTGCTCGACTATAGGCACCATGCAGAATAACTGGGTCATTAACCTCCTGTTATCTAATCAATCAGTGCTGAAATGCAACTACTGAGTTTGCTGCTAAAGGAAATATGCACAAGCTCATTGACAATGCTTTTCTTATGAATGCTTAAAAATATATTTTTAAAACAGGGTTGTTGACTTTCTGTGTCTTGATTTCAGTGTACTTGACCTCTGAACTTCAAACTGCCAGGATATTAAAATGTAAACCTGTTCCGGTCTCAAAAGCTCAAGGTAACGAAGAGGTCCTTCAGGAACTGAAATGCATCAGTGAAACGCTGGCTTTACCCAGTCCAGAATCCACAGCTGGCATTGTCCAGTTGTTGCAGACCATAGAGAAAGAGGTATTATTGTTTTTTTTACTAAAGACCAAATGTTCATATACTGCTTTGAAACCATTCTAAATCTATTGTGTTCTCACAGATGAAAAATTTGATCTCTAAAGTGCCAAAAAACCATGTGGGAAGTCCATTGTTGAAGACAACACTAACTCCTGATCACTGGGTGAGAACAATCTTGAAGGCTTAACTATGTCAATTTATTCTTACAACCAAGTCATTTTGGATGTATTTCAAGACAAAAAAGCATAATATGTAGTTAATGATAAATTGATGAACAGAATGCATTATCCTTGTTGCAAATGTTGTCAAAGACCTACAGCATGAGTAAACTTTATCCTCACTGGTGTTTGGAATGATGGTGGCTGAGAGTGAATTAAATAAGTTCTTTGATTATAAATTGAAAGGAAAAATCCAAACAGAATGATGTATAACAGTCTGCAATCTAGTATAACAGGTTATTCATGGTAAAGGGAACATGTTTTCTGGCAAGTCAAAATTGTTCCACGGAAGTACTGTAAAATGAAAGGAGCTAAAACAGAAATGTGGCTGCCTTTTTGCCCTTTTTTTTCAACTTCTCTAAGTAGCTTTCAAAGAAAAACAGGAACCAGAACAGAATTTTTTTGATCCAGTTCCCTTTCTGTCGCTGTGCCTGAGATGTCAGGTTGTAGAATTAGGAATAGCATGTAAATGGTAACTAAGGAGTGTATTTAGCTTATTGGATAAAATCGTCAGAAATGTATGTTTGAGTCTCTTGACAGTTTCTATGTTTCTGTTATTTGTATGGATTAAGAAACTTGGAGGAGAGATGATTGATTCCGGAGAGCATGACTATTAACTGGTTGATGTAACTCCTGTCGGTATTTGATACTGAATCCTTATAGTGCCATGCAAATCATACCAATATAGGAACAGTAGTGCAGGCTAATATTACAACGGTACAAAATGCTTCTCAGCCTTCAGCAGTTTATACATGGAATATACATAATTGCGTGACTGGGAAAGTACAATGTGCTGATTTCTGTTTTGGGAAGGGGAAATAAAGATAAATACAACCGTTTGTCCGTCAGTTTGGGTGTGGAGCTGCTGACAGGCCCGTGCATTTAGTGATCTTGCTCAACATGTCTCTACCTGTGGATTTTATTGAAATAATTTGTGTTTTATCTCCTTTCTCTTCAGGAGAAGCTGCAGGCCATCAATGATGTTCTAATCAGTGAGTACGATTGCCGCAGAAGGATGTTGATCAAACGATTAGATGTGACTGTTCAGTCATTTGGCTGGTCTGAAAGAGCAAAGGTGGGTTAAACATGGATTAAATGTGGTAGGCAGCAATATAAATGTGGTTATCTTATAACAGTCCTTTAAAATTGTGTAATGAATGCTTTTTTTAAGAAAACTAACTCATGATCAGAGAGATTATGTTGAGCCAGGCTAACTCTCTCACCTCTGAATCAGAAGGTTGAGGGTTCAAGCCCCACATCGGGAGTTGGCACTTGTGTAGTCTTAAGATGGCACTCCAATGCAGTCCTGCATTGTTAATTGTCACAAAACCCACATCGTTGCACTTTGCAGTATATCCTGTAAAGTGCCTCGCGACGTCTTCCTGATGTGAAAGGTACTACCAAATATAAGGATTATTATTATTTTTGTCTGGGCATAATTTTAACAAAACAGGAGTTAGTACTAAAGTAATTCAATTTGCAGTCATCACAACATGATTTACAGGAAATTATGGAGAAATTAAAATCCGTATGGTATTCTTTTTAGGCAAGCATAGACAACATGGCAAAAGCTTACCAACCAAAACGACACACACTGCAAGGAAAGTCCACTTCAACCATAGCACATCTTTTGGCTGCTCGAGAGGACTTGTCCAAGATCACAAAGACCAGCAGTGGCTCCTTACTAGCAGGGACATCCTGTGCCATTAACAAGGTATCGGTGTTTGTATTACATGCTCTATGATCTCACAATTGTCTTTACATTTCAGAGGCACGTTTTATAGTAATAAGCACCTGAAGATGGTGCAGTGGAACTATTGAGTGGAAAGAAATCAGTTCAGGCTTGCAATTATACACATGACAGATTTCCCCTCTTTACCATCAGGAAAGGCATTGAGCACAAAGCAATGACTGCTGGTGAGGAAGGGTGAACTGTTCTCCTTTTGTATTTGAGAATGACACAGCATAGGCGTGAAATAGAGTAACCTCATTTATTATTTACTGTTTTGCTTGCATTCCTTAATCTGGGAGGGCTATTGGGAGACTAGGCTAACATCACGACAATCAAGAGTGTTAATTTTTGGTTTGCATATCATTCTTTTGCTTCTGAGTATGTTTTTTGCTTGCTGGCAATTAATATGCCCTCCAAAAACAAATGGCATAATGAAAGCTTGAACATCCGAGAGGTACTCAAGCTGGATTCCTATGCTACCTTTCTCCAGTCCCGTGGATTGGGCGGCTATGTCAACTTTGAAGACTGAGGATGGTGGGGAATCGAGGTTCTACCAGGTTTGTTGTTGGCGAACCCCGGTCCCACCTTTAAACTTGCTGTGATTTTCCTTTGGCAGGTCCTGATGGGTAAGGTACCTGATCGTGGAGGTAGACCATCAGAGATAGAAGCTCCTCCTCCAGAGATGCCACCATGGATGAAGAGACAAGATGGTGGAGGAAGAGGTAGTCGTGGTGGAGGTGGAAGAGGTGGAGGCTGGGGAGGGGGAGGTGGTGGAGGCTGGGGAGGGGGAGGTGGTGGAGGCTGGGGAGGGGGAGGTGGTGGAAGCTGGGGAGGGGGAGGTGGTGGAAGCTGGGGAGCAGGAGGGGGCAGAGGAGGGAGCTGGGGAAGTGGGGGTGGGGGAAGCTATGGTGGAAGAGGTGGCTATGGTGGCAGAGGGGGCCATGGAGACACGGGAAGCTTTGGAGGAAGAGGAGGTTACAGACGATACTGAATGGACAGCTCATTGAGTTATATATCTACATTGCCTGTGTACAATATGGACTTTTCTTTTCTATCATCACAGTAAAAGTGATCATATTTAATAAGGGTAGTGAGCGTAAATTATTTTATCCTTCACAGGAATTTAGATAGAAAGGAATGGTTGTATTTGTTCAATTTTAAAAGTATGTTAATGTGCTGGAGAAATGTATATTTTTACTGCAGTATATGAGGATAGACATTGTGCATTTGTTTACAACTGGAATTCAATTATCCTTTTTTTTAAAGGGTTCTTTTGTTTTTATAACAACCTGAACATCAAAAGTATTTCATTTTGCGAAGTTTAAAGGTTTATAAGGAGCTGTGACCAGTTGATTTTTTTTGTTAACAGAATAAATTTGTGAATAAAAAAGAACAAAAAGGACTGATGTGCTTTATGATTTATTTAAGTGCAGATAAGTCATTGTCTCGTCCTCCCGATATGAAAGGCGCTATATAAATGTAATTTTGTTGATGATGATGTTGTTAAAGCTGACTGTCGCAGTAGCTCAGTAGCTATTGTTCGCTTGTTCGAGTCCCAAGAGGACTAATTCTCATGTGTACCTTCCATGTACATGGCTAGTTTGACTATTTAGGTACACATTTCTCATTACAGAAGAAGTGAGAAGCCTCCTTTCTTCATTATTAGGTGGGGAAGCAGAGCTTGAGAACAGAAACTGGAATCTAATGATACTGGGTTTATCTTTGGTCTCGTCACTGTCCTAACCTATAGAAGGAAGGATAACTGGAAATGAGAAGCTGTGAAATGGAAGGAATGTTAGGGCAATCAGAGAGGATATTATGGAATTAAATACAAATTATTTTGAGCTCTATTGACATTTTTAAATATCTACACAAGATAGAATACCTTTGTTTTACTGCTTGTGCAAGATTCTCAATGACTGTATTTCTGTCCTTTGCCCCAACTCCTGGGTTTGACTCCTGGGCATTTATTGGCTTCACTGCATTAAATTATCCTCCATTAGCTGACTTGGTTCATTGCAAAGAGAAATTTCAATCTATTCCAAATACAGCAATAGGATAGATTAATTATTAACTATTAAACCTAATATTGTACCATGATCTGGGACTGTAGGCTGTTTACTCCACAGTGTATCCAGGTATTATTTCAATGATTCCATAAGTGACATTTCAAGGATCCAACTATTTTACTTTAAGAAAAGGGAAATATTTAGAATGCAATTCCTTATTTCAAATTGGTCTCGTTTTTGTTGTTGCTAGTTGCTTTCACTGTAAAGAAATGCTGAAAACTGAAGCTTAATGTTGTATTTCAGCACCCTGCTTTATCAATGCAGCAAATATGGTAGCCCAAATTGAAAGACCCATCATTGCTTGGCAAATCCTGATTTTAATGAGATACATGAGAGATTTGCACAATTTCTGCAAAATAGATATTTAGAATAGAAAATAGAAATAAAATAAAGTAGAAAAGGTGCTATAGAGACAGCAAATGCAATATACTCAACTGGAGATCAACTGTAACTTTCTAATTGTATGAAGAGAACTTTAGATGTTTAATATATTGAAGTTAAATTTCAAATAGTCTTTTGGTTTGCCATTTCTACAATACTTGCCCTGCCTTAGTCAGTACTGAATGTTTTTGTGAAATATAATGATGTGTAGAAATGAACAGGATTCTAAATCATCATTACATCACTTTCAATGGATCTGATGGTCACTAAGCAATTAAATTGTTTGCGTACAGAATGAAATGTAAAAGTAAAACATTCCTACCAATGTTTAACAGATTCTGCACAGTTAGTTCTGTGGAGTTAATAATTATTGTGACATTAGCATACATTACATTCAAAGTGGGACTTACTCTTATTAAACTTGCTGTATGTACTTTTTGATTTCGAATCAGTTCTTGTTGATGCCAAAGTGCTGTATTCAGTTATCAGATAACTGAATGTTCTTACACTCCGTTTCCACTGACAATCAACATTAAGCTCACTAAGTTTTGTTTTAGATAACTCCACAGTAGAGAGGATTTCAACACAAAATTTGTGTTCCCATAAAGGAGCAAACACAGTGTTATAGAAAAGTTTCCCTTTTTCAAGCTATTCATATTTCATCTGAATTCTGTTTCATCTAAGAAACTGAATGCCTCTTTATCTGCCCTATTGAAATTCTGAATTTGGGTCACTGAGAAAATAATATATGAAATGAGAAAAAAATAGATTAGCCTGTGTCCTGTTGTTTTTGTTAACGATCACATTTTAAGCACATTCTCTAAGTTTGAAAGTGCTGATTCTTTCAAATAAGATTTATGGGATTGATATTCTCAGCTCCTGCTTCCAAAGTGTGTCTTAGATGATTTAAGACAGAAAGGAAAACAGCACTGAAAGTAGCTACTATATCTTACATTTGTACATTAGGATATATCATTCTTTGGAAAGTTTCAACATTTCTCACTTCAACCCTTGCAGGTTTGGTCAATATGATAGCTCAGAAATGGTGTTTATACTGCTTTGCTGTCATTGAGTTCCAAACAATTTTTCTTGTAATGAAACAATTATTGTTTTCTCAGAGTTGCAATTATGTTATGGCTATCTAGTCCAAGCAGTTTATTTAACTATCCTCATGAATGTCTATTAGTTTAATCCTTCTATTTAAAAAAAATGTTGTTTGCTCATACAGTACAGAAGCTATTATTATGTTATTATTAAAGTTTCATATGCTTTTGTAAAGGTTTCCATTGGAGACATAACGGTTTAAGAACTGTATTGGGCTTTATGCTGAACAACTGAGCAGTTTTGAAAATTTGCCTTTTGTTTGTTTCCTACCACCTTAGTTATTTATGTGACCAGGGAACCAATTTAGCTCTAACATGTGGGTTATAGCAACCAGGCTCCCTTTGATATATAATAATCCAGAGTCAATTTTTTAATTATATTTATTGTTTGATACTTTGAACACATCAATTGATTTTTATGGTCATGCAACTGAATACTTAAACATCACAAACAATCATACAAAAACAAAAATGTTTAGCTATACAACTATACATATATACATTCACTTAAAAAAAACACAGACACTTTATTTTAAAACCTTATTTAACAGAGCCTTAAAGCTCCTTTGGCCTTTTCTTGCAAGGGCAATTCAATGTGAATGGCTTCATACTGCTTTTCATCTTATATCAAGAGTAAAATTGCTCCTACTGTCCTCTATCTACAACTTGCTGATCAGACCATTGTAAAATATACACTTTACAATAAGTAAGAATTTACTCGGGCGAAACCCAACTGACCCACTTCTAATTCACTGATACATATGAGGGGGAAGATCAGTCGTAACACATCGCCTAACATGGTTTGCAATACACATCGTCAGTACATAGAGAAAATTTGACATTTATTTGCCTATGCTGTACATTTTATATTCAGGAAAATGGGTTATCCAACTATGTACACACGTCAGTGAACATCAGAGCTTTTGCAGATCCACCCACTCCCTGGCCTAAGTTCATAGAGAGTAGGAAATAAGCATTTTGCATGAAATCATTTATAATAGATTGATTGGCATGTTCATCATTCCCACTTTCTGACTTTAGAAATAATCCTTGAGAACAAAATATGCTGATTCGGCATTTTTTTACTTCACCAACAGATGTTTGTTGTCAAATTGACGTATGGATTTATGATCATGTATGGGCTATTTTGGACAAAACATTTAAATTGTTGCCTCGATGCTTTAAAATTTTGTTTAGCTTCTTTGGGCGAGGAAGGGCTAGCGATGGATGCTGGAAATGATAATGTAAGGTTTTTTTCTATGTTAAATTCAAATTCACAATGTGGTTTTGCTATAGAGACTGATGAGAAATACCAGAGCCGTTTAACGTGACCGTCTATTAATGTGATGGTATATTCTGAATTAGTCCGTGGCGTTTCTCTTAAAGGCTATTTGCATTTGAAATATTTGAACATGCACAGAAGTTGTTCACGTGCTACAGTCCACTTACTAAATTTAGTCATAAATTCAACTCTAAATTGATTTGTTGTGTGTGTGGCTACAAAATGCTAGTGACATGTCAGCTATGATTGCATATAGATTGACTGAACTTCATTAACAGCGGCAGTGACATAGTCTGGAACTATGAAGCTTCAAAATGATATAAACACAGAAGTCGCTAGGAGCACGCAGCAGGTCTGGCAGCATCCATGGAGAGAGGAAAATTAGTTAACGTTTCAGGTCAATGACCTTTCATCAACTCTGTCAGACCTTCATCAGAAGCTTCAAAATGATCCTAATTGAGTTACAAAAGTCAACTCTAATTCTGATTGTCCAATTGAACATTATCAAGTTTGTTGGAGAAAATAATAATAATAATCCATGCATTTGATAAAGCACCTTATCATGTCATTGAGATGTTTCAAAGCGCTTCACAGAATAGATTGTAAAGTGGAGTGACTATATTTTGTGGGAGAAACGTGACGTTATTAAAATAGCGTAACAAATTGTTCTGTATAAACGCTGACTTTAGTGAAGGTTCCATTTTATGCACATCATTTAAATGAAATCTCCCATTGTTGAAAATGGCTTTTTTTTTGTAAATTGCACTCTATAATACATAACCCCTCTTAACCTGACTTTGCAAAATGACTGGTATTATCTTTTCAAAGCAGCCAGATTATACTTGCAATCAGATAGCAATCCCCATCTTGTTGCTTATCATTCACGAAAGGTACACTTGGTTCTTCATAAAAAAATGGCGTTAGTGTCTAGTGTTCATATTAATGCTTTCTTTTGCGTTTTTATTATTAAAAGTTAGGTCTCTGGTTTTGTTGGAAAGAATGCATTTAAATGTGCAGAAAATGACAATCAAATATTACCGTATTCCCATATTTTGACAGTATTTTCCATTGATCCCAGTTACTTTATAGAGTTCACGAAAAGCTGCTTTTATTCCGATTGCGGAGAGTTTTGGGGCTGTGTGGTTATATGGATTTGCAGTGAATCAAGTTGGTCTGTGAGAGTTTTAATCTCTCTCTGTGCTTCCAGTAATTCTGCTTGCAGCTTTGAATTGTCGATGGTTAGCTTTTCCCTCTCTTCCCGAAGCAAATTTCTTTCCTGCACAAGTCAAAAAAAAGGAACATTTATTATTTCTTTGGAGTTGAAATGTAATGTTATTAGCATGTTCATGTGTTTAGTATTTATTTCTTAGATTTAATCGATCAGTTTGACTGAAGCCTCCTCAGGAACAGCTTTTTCATGACTTGTAATACAGCCTTCATACCTTGTCTGATAATACCAATCTGATTCTGGGTAGAATTCATATTTACTCACTTTCTCAGCTGATTCCATATAAATGCCCAGATAGCAGTTTTTGAATTTAAAACCAACACTTGCAATATCACAATTGTAGGATTAAAATGATGTTCTGCTGTTCAGGTAATAATAATCTGGCATAACTGTTTGACAGCCAACCTCAAAGCAACACTTTAATTGATTCTCTTGTCCTTGCGTAATCTAATTTTAACATTAACCTCCTGCATAGATCATATTTGGAAAAAAAATGGGTTTTAATTCAATTCTGAGTAAGCCACTTCACATGCACATTGAAGTCCTCCTCAGTCCCAGAATAAAAGCTGCATCAAGGTGCCCTGACCTACTCAAGTCGAGTGGTGGCTTTGGGGAGAGAGTGTTGCGTCAAAGGAGGTGAGCAAAGAATGTGTAGGCATGGTTAGGATAAAAATAACAGGAGGATGTATTCTGTGCTTTGTACAAACATGCAAACCTAAAGACAGAACTTGCAGGAGGACCGGGATCTGTTCAGGATCAGTCATTTTTTTTTTTGTCTTTGTTCACTTGAATCTAAAATCGCCTCTGACTGTTTTGTTTTCCCCATTTGAAGCATCTCTCACGAACCCCAATCTAAAAGCTTCCCTCGATCAGCATATTCAAGATGGAAAAAAATGATTGTACCTTTTCCAGTTGATGTATCCGATGCTCTTTAGTAAAGTCAATTTCTTTGGGTTTGTGATTGGACGCATTGTTTACCCACGTTGCACAGGCTCTCTTTCGATTTGGAACAGGGCTGGGGCACAACGGGAGGATGCTTGGGGACAGCAGAGTGGCATCAGATGGCCTCGTTCTTGCTGAAGGAGCAGCTTGATTTCCTGGAGTAGTTGTGTCGGGCCATGATGAATCAGTCTGTGAGGCCTTGTCTATTACAGTAGGCTTTAACCTGACTGAAATCTTCTGGGCTGAGCCACCCATTAATACAAAAGTCCGGTCCTTGCGTTCAGAGTGCTCGTGAGCTTCTCCATTGAAGTATCCGAACGGTCCCTCCTCCACTCCTACCAGGAAAGTTAATATGATAAGTTGTCAGAAAATGAAAGGTTCTATGAATGAAGCGCAGGGAAGCAAAACACAAACCATCATTGCAAGTACAATTATATTGCGTTTTGAATCATTCACAGAGAACTTTTTTTTCTGATTATTATGTAGTATTCAAATTCTGGATTTTCAGTGTCCTTGAAATTAAGCTTACCATTCAGATCAGTTATGTAAATACTGTGGGAAATGTTACACTACCTGTGTTGTGACCTTTGGCACTTGCAGGAGTTGGAGTGGAGCTTGATATTGGACTGGTATCCGTGGATGTAGCTTTGGGTTTGTTTTTGCATTCTAAGACCACCAGATCTCTGCATTGCTTGTGACAGTTCATGCCACAATCTGTAAAAAGACAACATGAAGCTGCTTGACATCGATGCATTTTTCAGAGGATCCAGATTTAGTGATTTCTCAACCTGGATTTTGTTAATGAAACAAATTAGATCATTTGCTATGAATTTGTATGAACTAATTAATGCAGCAACCCAGCTGATCTGTCTGAATTGCTCTGCCACAGCCATACTTGAGATTCACTAAACCTTTGTCGGTACATTTGTGGTTATCCAAAGGAAAAAAAAATCATTTACCTCTACATCTGTATCCTTGTTTTATGACGCCCCAGATCTAAGACGAAGAAAAGTAGATCATATTAAGTACATTTTGTAATTACTGTTTGCTTTGAGAATATTACAGATGTATTGAAGGGACTAAAGGTGTATACTGGACGTCTTCTAAATAGACGCTTTTACTGTTTCTACTTTTTTGTTACGTTTACAAAACAATTTTACACAGAATATTCAAAAATCAGTGGTGTTTCAAATTCTGCTCTGTGATGAGTTTGTTGATCTTAGCTGAGGCGAGACAGGGAGGGATAATTGACCCCAGCCTTCCAGAGAACAAGAAGCAAAGCAGCCAGAGTTCCTGCACCTGGTCCCTCAACAGTACCCTCTGCTGGTGATGTGCATGAGGGAATTGGTTGTGGTCAACTGTGACGTTCTCCACAGTCGAGTGGCCTGCCAAGGCTCACGACATACCAGAGGACTTGAATCCACAATAACAACTTCTTGCAATTATATTATCAATCCTTCACGCTGGGTAGCGTTTTGGAGGGCTGAACAAAAGTGGAGATTGATGCTAAACTCGGGAGAAGGGAGAGGTGACCTTAGGCAAGGTAAAAGTGTAAAGTCTTCAGGTGCGATGTGAAGATGGGTAAAGATTGGGCAAGGTGGAAGTTACTTACAAATCCTGCGCAGTTGTCACAGAAGGTTGGCTTCATGTATGTTGTCTCTTGGAAATTGTGGTGAAAGCCTAGGACCGACTTTGAGAAGATGGAGCTGGCCCTCATGAAATAAGCCGTGATCTCCTCTCTGCTTATTAGTCCTTCACTGAAAATGAGGAATCTCTCATTACTGCTCATTCAACACAGAAAAACAGGAACCCAGTGAAAACAATTTTTCAAAATGGCAATGAATGGGTTACCATTTAGAATGATCTAAAACTAGTCGGTGCTCAGTTTTCCTTTGACTTCTATTGCACCTTATTGCACAGATACATCTCAAAAGCACTTCACTTGCAATTGACTCATCCAAAGAGCTGCAATACATATTGAAGCTGTGTGCTAAGAATATGGCACTCCATCTGTTGCCTTGACAATAGTCTACTATATTAACTTTGTTACCCTGTAAGAGATATTTCAATTTTAAAAAGTATCTTACACATATATTTGGCTTTTCTCTGACAGTGACAGCATTAGCATTGCCAAGCTGTTGATTTCCAGTGCTATCTCACCTAGACATTGTGTGAGTAAAGATGATGTCAGATACTTTTCTGTTTACAGGAAGTCAAATGAAACATAATTGTTCTGTTTTTAGACCATCTTTTTAAACAGATGGTGCTTGAATTCAGGGGGGGAAAAGCAAATATTCTGCTAAAAGCCATGTATTTCAGCATTTGTTTCTCAAGTGTAAGAGTGTCACTGTTGCTTGTGAGTAATATAACCCCAGAAGAGTGTTCTCTTGTCTGCATAATGAGTTAGTTCAGTACTAACCAGATCACCTAGATCTTTCTCACTGAGTAGCTTTTGATAATCTACATGTTTTTGTTGTTTTGCATGTAGATTTGTATTTTTGTATCTAGAATAGTGAGTCATATCTGTATTTCTAGATTAATAACTTCAGTAATTTAGTGCTGTTGAGCAAATTGAAAAGGAAAGGTGAATACAGAGCTTCACCCTTAACCATTCTCATGATCAAATGTGGGCAGTAGAGAAGTGTCACATAAGGCTGTATTTAGTAATGGTACAGAAGTAAATCAATTTAAACGTCTGTCAGAGATGTGAGCAGATAAATCTCAAGGAGCGAAGTCACTTGAGCCATGATATCGACCTATAAAGTTAATGGCGGTCTGATGCAGTCTCACAATTATAATACTTTCAACACCATTCAGAAATTGCTGCACCTACCTAGCTTTATCCATCACACAGAAGGAAAATGGAAAGCTGGCAGCAATCTTTTCGAACTCCTCTTGAGAAATGTAGCCATCCTGATCATGGTCATAATTCTTAAAGACAGACTGGAATTGGGAGAGGGAGCGAGAGAGAGGAGGAAAAATGAGGATTAATAAAGAAAATTAGCCTAATGATAAAAATAAGTAAAAATGAGAAGGCAGTTTATCTTGGCAAACCAAAACAATCAATTTGTACGAGTGTTAAAGGACAACGGTGCCCTGTCAAGATGTTAAGAAAGCTTTTACATATTTTAGATTAATGCTTAATGACCTGTTATTTATCTACTGAAACATCATTGCTTTCAATGGCAAGCTATGCAGTTCTAGTTGGTTAAATTCCAGCAGTACCCCCAACGCACACTCTGGGATCCCCTAGCCTTGACTCTTGCTAACCTGCATCTAATATTCTCTGGAATTAGGTAAGCAGGGTTTGTCCCAATTCGGAGAGTGTGCACTCCATTCCAGACATGGAAATTTCCTTGTGAAGGTGGTTTTCATGGAACTCTGGTGGTTTGGAAAATGCTATGGTGACAGGTTTCTACTTGTATCAAGACATCTGGCATTGACTGAAAAAAATCAATGCCTCTCCAGCATATCTTTGTGATGCAAGACTCTGTATATTTTCTTTTATGGTGACGTCTACCTGCTTTAATCTTTATTTCCTCGAAATTAGATATATCTGAAGAACCCCATGATTTGGAGAATGCATACTCTTTTATGAATTTTCTGAGTGAACTTGTTAGAACAATAAAAAGAAAGTTTATAGTGAATATGAATAACAACACAAAAAGTATTATAAGTATCTAAAACACCGACAACTTTGCAGACAATTGCTATCAAATATAGTAACTGTGCATTTGTACTTGTGCAGAACTTACATCGACCATCCTTTGAACATGTTTACTGATAGTCTTGGGGTCAGGCTTTGGTGATATTGCAGTGGCCCAGTCCACGACCACGGGTGGCTTGCTAGGTGTTGCTGGCTATTCAGAAGGAATCGCAATGGTACATTTTAATTTGAAACATTCCATAAAATAATATTTTAGTTTATTTTCTTAAAAATTGTGTGCCCAGTTATCTTCCTAATTTTCTCTCCATTGACATATGTATCTCTACCATGTACTGGTTACCATCCTGAAATATTTTTGGTAATTTTCAGCTTTGGAATTTGGGTTGGCTTTGATCTCTTGACAATATAAAAAATAGCATGCCGTGTATACAGAGAGCTATAAAAGCAACATTATTAAACAGGATAACAAAAATGAATCTGAAGTTTTATGAGTCGATTGGCGGTTGAGTCACAATCTAGTTTGAGTCTTATTTTTGGGGGAACAGAGCAATCTGCCTAATATGCTATTTATTAAAAAAAATAAATATGGAAAGAGCCTACGACTGAAGTTAGCTCAGCTGCCTAAGGCTCTCTGGAACCAAAAAGGTTGCTGAAACCAGAGACGTTATATTTAAGCCAAATGCAGAGACATTTCCTTGTTAATTTTAACCTGTAGCATAAATATGCCCTTCTCTTAAAGCAGTAACAGTACCTTCAGTCTGCAATCATTCGAAAATAGTTGATTCAAATCTAATTAAATGACGTGTTTAGAATTTCCCCATTACAGGTAATGCGACTGATCGCGAACTTCGATAGAGCTATCAGTGGTACAATCAGAATCTTACGGGTGTCTCAACAGGGCAATTAGTGTGGGAGATTAGACCTGTGTGACAGAAACAGTTGCTTACTGGAACTTTATTGTTTCGTGGCTCCCGTGCATATGAAAGTTCGTAAATTTCATCTTCCGAGTAGTAAAGGTCTAATGACAGCTGTAAGAGTAGAGAGAAACAGTTACAGATGCAGTTGCAAAGTAGCTTTAATAGCTTGATCTCACAATGTCACGTACAGAAATGCAAAGGTGGATTTTATCTAAATATTGCAACAGCCTATTTCACGGAAACACAAAGGAGTACGTGAGAAGCTGGACTCAGTACCAGCCAAACACAGCCAGAAAATAGTTCAAAATAATGTTTACATGCCTACAATAGTACTGAAAAAGTACATGTTACAAATGGCCAAAACACAGATTGTCTGGAACAAGACTGTAATAACCCTGTTACATTTAAGCACTTGATTGTTGTGTGCTGCTGCTCTAACGTTACTGTATCCTCAGTCACTGCTTCAAGAACAAAATAGTTACATTTTACACAACATCCTAGTGTATAACATGGGAGGGAAAGGCACTAGTTTAGCATCGTATGGTGAGGCATCCCCTTCCCTTGTTCAGATGGCCTCAGGTACAGCAGTGACCAAGTACAGCTGAGCACAGGAAGAATGAATCCCAAACCTTCCTGTAAGCAAGAGGAGAATTTGTCTTACAAGATCTTGTTTTTTAAACTTGGAGAGAAGGCAGGGGAGGGAAAGGTGCCAAAGAGACCTTCCGAAAGATCAAAAACTCAAAAAAGTATTTCAGTGGTCTGCAGCTGCTGTCATGTAGTCAGAAATAACTTCCTGTGACCAAAATTACAATCAGGCAAGACAGACCTCAGATTGTGACTAGTTCATGCGTTGTAACTGTAGGCCAGCTATTTCTAAACAGTAGCTTGTGAACCACTATCCCTGCCTATCATTTCTGAAACCTCAGGCAAAGCACCTGAGATAAAAGATGGCTACTTTCAATAAAGCAGCCAGAATCTATCACAAAGAAGTGCTGAACCAGCTCTCTGAAGGAGATCAGAGTATCATTTCGGGATGTGTTACAGATTTATTTTTTTGGATGGGAATCAACCATTTAATCCAAATGTTTTCATTCACATGAGGACCTCTATTATTTTCAACACCTTAACCACATGTGCTCAGCTCATGTCCTGCATGTGTACGTTGACCAAATTTATAAGAAGAAAGATTTTGCATTCTACAGTGCTTACAGCGTTAAAGTGGAGTCCTGTAGCTCAGTGGTTAGAGCACTCGCTTTGCAAGCGAGAGACCTGAGTTCAATTCCAGGCAGAGGGCGAAACCTTGGGCAAGTTTCCTTACTCCACACAGAGCCTAATAATAATTCCTCCAAAAAACAAAACAATAATAAATTGGTCATTTTCAATCTACGACTGTTTGTGGGACATTGCTGTGCGCAATTGGCTGCCGCGTTCACCCACAAATATACAGTCAATTCACTTTACAGTGTGTTCTGTGAAGCGCTTTGGGACGTCCTTCCGACGTGAAAAGCGCTATATCAAATGCAAGAATTATTATTATTATTAAAGTGTCTCAAAGCACTTTGCAGTCATTTAATTGTGTCACTTTTGGAAATGCTGGCACTTATTCTTATCCCTCTTGGGAAGATCCTGATTCCTACTAGACCTGGTCTAAGAACTGTATTAGCAGATGTGTACAGACACTGACGTTGTAAGGTTTAAACGTACCGTGAGCAGGTGCACTAGGTCTTTGTTTGCTTCCAGAGGGGGCGCAGTGTTCTGAAGCTGGACAAGCTCATTGATGTGGTTGTAGAGAGTCTGAAGCTTGTTTACATTTATCTTGGTATCTTCAACATAGTCCGGCAGGGCCTCGTGTAATGAGATAAGATCTTTCAGGTGGACACCCAGAATAGGAATCTTGAATCCTGTGCACTCACTGTACACCCGACGATAGTTGTTGTAATTTCCACTGGAGGAAAGCAGCTCTGTCATTTCAGTCATCACCTACAGTGCAAAATGCAGCATTACAAACCGTGATCTTGACTGCACTTACTTTGCTTTAACCATAGACCTTTTCCTTTGAACAGTTTCCTTTGATGGAAAATAGCAAACGTTGCAAGCAAATAAAGGGTTATTGCACTTTCAGCAAGATAGGCAATTTAAGTTGGCAGTTGAAATGCATTGACCTGATGCGATGATATAAGAAAAATAACTCTTTTTATTCAATGGAATAAATGCTACCATATTGCTTCCTTTCACAAACGAAAATATATATTTTTTAAATGCTTCTGAGCATCACATTATTTTACGTTACTAGATTTTATTTTAATTAACCTTATTTTATACCAAATAATAATTTGGTCACTTAATCCATAACTGTTTGTGGGACACTGCTTTGTGCAATCGGCCGCCACGTTTCACCCACAAAATATACAGTCAATGAAGTGCTTTGAGACTTTTAGAAGACGTGATAAGGCACTGTATCAAATGCAAGGATTATTATTATTTTAATAAAGTTAGCAAAAGTATACTGTGCCTAGAGTAATAACACAGCCACCAGTGTTAATTTATAAACTATCGTATAATAGTGCATTAGTGACCAGAAGAAAATGGTCACCAGTGGAGGGAGAAAACCAGAGATTCAGGTACTCCTTCGGAGATGGTGATGCCAACAGTAGCAGTTATACGTGGCATCAGATAAATCTTTCTTTATAAATCTTTCAGTTAAGAAGCTAGTACATTTTTGCCTGATTCATATCAGTGCCAGGTACTGACTGGGCTCTTTCCCAATATGTGATTTCAATTTGCTCTGTAAAAAAAAATTGTCAAAAGTTAGCCATGTTTGATACTAACCAACCACAGCAAGTGATTGTCGGTAGAGACAAGAGACGTCGGGTTTTTCCAGAAATATTTAGAGCAACAAAAGCAACGGGGTACCTAACAGCAAGTTAAGCAGTACATGGTCCAACTGCAGATTTCATACTCATATCGTGCCCCAGAACATTACAAGGAAATAAAGCAGGAAAGCAGATGCCATTTCACTACATTTTCTTCAAACCACACAAATGTAAAAATGTCTCAATTGCTTAGGGCCATGAATTAGCAGGATTGTGCCAGACAGCCATCATATCACTTCACCAACTGAGTCCTTATTTCCTAAATGGTTCCAAGAGATCCTTTTCTGCTAAACAGAGATAGCTCACTCCTGCCTTCCACATTTTAAAGATGTTGCCAATGGTAGTCCAGATTTGCAGTATAGCTAATTACCGTTCTGGTTATTTTCAGCTTAAGCCAATTGAAATGGTTAAAGCTTACCTTTGTGACTTTATTTGGTGAAATATGTCTTTAAAGACAGTCTAATGCACCCACTGATGCTCAAATTACACTTAACAATGAGTAATGACAGTCATTGCACTGAAAGAATTGCCGCTCAGAATAGCTGAGATTGTAAAGAAGACCTTCAGCTCCACTGCTTTTTCTGTTAAGAATATCCTGGGATATTGAATTTTAATTTGCTTAAGTTTAAGTTAAAGCTAACTTCATTTCTTTTTGTTGTAAAGCACAATGAAAATGCTGGGCTGACGTCAAGTAGTGAATGTCTGCCACAGGTTCCAAAATATATGCTTTAAAGGGGTTGAAACATAGTATAGTACAGGCAGTGACGGCTGTGGGCATGAAAGCCAGTCCAACAGAGCGGCAGCTGTAATTTTCCATCTCGTACTGTTCTCAAAAAGTATATTTTGAAAGTTAAAAAATATGACCAAAAGTTATGGAAGACGACAGCTACCTTGAATTGGCTTCATATTTGTAACTGTCTAAGTTTGACTTACAACATGCTTTTGTAAAATGAAGAAGGTTGCATTTGAGTAATTCTCTTTCAGAAGTCATTTACAAATCTCCAACCAACCATCACAAATACTAAAGCATTGTTTCTGGACAGGAATGATAAGTTACATCTTTTTTTCCCCAAGAACATTATAAAATGTTTTGTATTATTATATACTGTACTGGCTTTTTCCCCACATTGCAACATTCAGCATTGCAAATCTACAAGCCTTTTATCAGTGATAGGTAAAATATGTTCCTTTTTGCATTAGGAAGCTAAGGAGAAAGAAAGACAGAGGCAATAAGATACGTGGGGCTAGGGTGGAGCTCAGAGCCACACAGATTCCTGTCTTGACTTTGAAGCCTTGCTGAGGTCTATCTGGAGGAAGCAGCTTGTTTTTCTTACTAAACGTTCTCAAAAACTCTATGAATTTAAGTCACTTTCTTCTCAAATGCAGGTGTTCAAATTTGGACCAATTGCTTCAATGCTTAGTCAAAGCAAACATCTGATCTCTCAAGGCCAGTTTAAACCAAAACCAGCTCCAATGCAATGATTATAATTGTTCTCTAATTTATTATTGAGTGATTATTCTTGAGAATCTAATTTGAACTGCCGCTGCCCAACAATGCTTTGCCCACAGACTTCTGGCAATGAAACAGTAATTAGCTGCCGCACTGTTCTTTCACCACAGAAGCAGGGAGATGGCGTGAAATCTCTTCTCGTTGTTGGCTGATAACAAGATTACAAATGTGTGACTTTGAACTTAATCTTATTCTAGATTCCTGCAGATTTGTTACTGGTAACATTAGTGGTAATAGTTACACTAAAATATTATTTTAAGAACAAAGTACTACCACTTGATACAGTGCTTCAGAGAAGTAAGAATATAAATTACCAGAGTGAGCAAATTCAATCTGAATCGACATTAAATGTAATCCCAAAATTTTCCTTTTAATAGTGTTTATCTGTCTGTCTGTAGTCCCATATTTTAATCTTTTGGTGTAAATCGGATGTAAAAGATGAAAACAATAGATGACACTTAATGGAACTATTCTAATCTTAACTAAGGTGTCATTTTCACAAGGAGTATATTTGGTCTGGGGATTTTGCTAACTAATTTTGCTAGAATATATGCACAGATATAAAGGGGAAGAACATAAACACAGTCCGCCTACTCAGTAATGTCATTTAGTACCCGTTTACACTCTTTGTGCTGCAACTAATAGATGCACCTCAACCCACACATTTCAATCATTACAAATTGATTTTCTGGAAGAGTTGCTACTTGTTGCTTTTTATTGATTCCCAATTGATTGGTAGCTTATGAGGTTCCCCAGTCCCAGCCCAGAGCCTGTGAACTTCAATTCCTTCATGCGGTGTTGACTGACCCAGGAAATGTCTCTTTATACCACAGCTCATAGTGAGTGACTTTCATTTAAAGTGACATGTTTACATGGGAACAATACTTTTGGGTTGGATCATGTGTCCCAAATTCAGTTTTATGTACTGTAAATGACCTTGCCGTGCCTCAGCCACCATGAAAAAGGGCCTGCATAAAGGACGATAGATGCTGTAGAAAGGTACTGACCTTATTAACTTCATGAGGGACACATGCGCTTGTTTCTTTGAGTCTGGAGATTGAGCTGTGACACAAACCTCCCACCACTGCCATTAGTGTATTAAAGTTCTGCAGCTGCTGGAGTTTCTGTGAGGGATAGGAGATGAACGTTAGAATGTTGAATCAGTGAAACCAGGATAATTTACAAGGAATGATTTACATTGACTGCACCACACACCATAATTAACACCTCCAACCTGAGTTACAACAGCATTGCAGAATTTGTTTAAAACTTGTAATCTTTTGTTATCGTGGAGACTTTCCGAATTGAACTTTTCAGTGTTATTCAGAGTGTTTTGCATCATGTGTTGTGTTCTCACACCTATACTTATAATTCCTAGTCATGGTTCTGGATTTCAAAATTGATGCAAGTGTTCAGACATAACATATTGGCATTTACATGAAAAATGATTGCTTCACATGCTACTAAATGAATTCCGCTGGTATGGCAAGTTAGCTTCTCACTGCCTCGGGCACTCAAGAATGCAACTGAATGAAATCATTTTGCATTCCAGATTTTTCTGACTTTCTGTCAAACCTATCATAAGAACATAAATTGTTTAACAACAGGGGGAAAAAAAAGCCTTTTAGGTCCAATGAGTGTTTCCACTGTTTGATTCTCAATTCCATATGTTTTTTCTCACCTAGTTTGTTCTTTAACCCATTTATATTATTTGCTGCAACTTGCGTATCCATTTTTAAAAAATCTTATGTTTGATATACTGCCGAATATCTTAAAGTACTTCAGAGTTTTTCTGGGAAGTATATTAATTGTGTATTTGTATGTGACCCTTTGTATTAAAGTTCCACTTGGATTTGCACCTTACTTGCTATTTTTTATCTGTACCGTGGCATTTAAACCCTTCACTGTAGTGAATAATTTGTCCATATCAACCTTGCTATCCTTTTCATAACACTGAAAAGTTCAATTCGGAAAGTCTCCACTATAACATATATCTTGGGAACAGACAATAAAAAATGACGGGTGTATTGCATTTTTTATTTTGTATCATGAAAAACAATGTCAACAATAATCTACTGTATATTCACAACATGCTGTGATTATTTTTGGTGCAAGATACCAGTAATTACTAATTTGACCAAAAGGTTAACGTGACAGCCTAAAGTAAGAAAACGTTTCAAACCCATACCTGGGCGACGAGAATAAACTTGGTGAAGACCTCTGCACGAAGCTGTGGGGTAGGTCTGCTGAGAACCATGAGCTGAACCCATTGTGAGATACCATTACACAAAGCAACTGAACGCTCCATTGTGGGGTTGTCCTTTACACAGCTGCTCATGATGTAGTTCTGATAATCTGAAAACTGGACAAAACATAGTAAGCAATGCATTCTGCAGACCAGCATTTCCAATTGGTGTGCATCTCAAGCAAAATGCTTTGATTTAACAATAAAATAATCTTTGCTTTTGATATAGCAGTCCCATGGAGTCCTCTAGCTCAGTAGTTAGAGCGCTCGCCTCGCAAGCGAGAGACCCGGGTTCGATTCCCAGTAGGTTGAAACTTTGCGCAAGTTTCTTTACTTCACACGCCTCTGTTTAACTAGTAGTAAGTAGGAACCCAGTTGTTAGTCGATTGGCGGATCACTTTTCCGGGGGTAATAATTCCTTAAAAAATATATAGATTGGTCACTCAATCCACGACTGTTTGTGGGACACTGCTGTGTGCAATTGGCTGCTGCGTTTTGCCCACAAAATATACAGTCAATTCACTTTACAGTGTATTCTGTGAAGCCCTCATTGCACACTGTGAGGCAGCATAAACACAACACTTTAAGCTAATGAATAATGCATCTATTTCAGGGCATCAGAAGCGGACATGCTCAGGATAATAGAATTCTGTTCTTTGGATTTTTGGAATGTATATTCTTTACAATGCACGAGGCATCCTGATGCTGTTATCCACTTGAGACATCAGTAGATGCACAGTGTTGCCAAGCACTGTGAAGTACCTCTTAAACAACAATGCCACTTGAAATCTCAAATTGCTGTTGATTCACATTAAAAATAATGGAAATTCATCAAATATAGGCGTGGGAATGAGGGGTATTGAGGTGAAAAGAGTTGTATGATTGGCCGGGAACAATGTAATTATTGTAATATTTGATGAAGGTAACTTTGATTTGACCAATTTCTCCAAACAATAGCTGTCAGAATGTCGGAATAGTATCATTTAACTGCGAGTGCAGAGCATGACACTTGGTTTGGGTTGGATACTCTTCAGATACCAAAATGAGACCTAATCCATTCTGAGAGATGAGCTAGCATGACACACTTCCAATTACCTCTACAGCAAACCCTATTTGAACCCTTAGGATCCCTTATCAAGAAGTCATCATTTGAAATCATCAGATTTGGTTGATTCGAAATTCCACCTAGTCTTAGCCTGAATACTTGCAAGTTCTTAAATTTTGTCAGAATTTGGAGGATAGTTTATTGCAGTCGTTAAAAACAACCAGTTTCCAAATTAAGGCTGAATTTAAGAATCTTTCACAAGCCTACATGATCCTAAATATTAAGACAAAATAATCTTCCAGGCTAGGAGAAGGTGGAATGTCAGGCCTGAAAACCCCATTGTTGTTTCAATGGCATAGCTGATCCCAGCATCTTCTCCCTGAGAGTCTGATATAATGGTATGTGAGGTGATGTAAAGTGCACTTACTGAAATCCTGCGGAAGGACTTGAACTCGAGGTAGCTGAGGTGCTCGGCCAGCTCCCCTGGCTCCAGGTGGTCAAACAGGAGGGAAACTTTACGCTTCTTACTGCTGTTCGGTTTTATCCTCTGAGTGAGCTTCCTCGACCAGTCGTGGGCATTACTGTGGGGGAGAAACGCAGTGAACCCTTTACAAATCCATTCTTAAAAATATTACCCTCGTCAGACTGAACACCATAAACAATTGATAATATCACTGGGTAATAGTGTCTGTGTAGTTTCCTGAGCTCATGCGCCTTCAGACTTACCGTCATCGTTATCTCCAGCACCCTTATAGTGGAAGGTGATTGACCTCACAGTCACAATATAAGAAGCCTTAGAAGAATTAAACCAGCCTGACCACTGTCTATTACAAGTAAGTATGATTCATTGCTGGCACAAATTGTGGGCTATAAGGGTTCAGAGGTTTTCATATCTTTTTGTTGTCATCTGAACCTTTTTACAAACTCCAACCCTTTACACATGTCCACACTCCCTCTTTGCCCACACTGTATCTGCTGCCTAAATGAGGCTGAGGCTTTTAAAGTGACTTTATCTGAAAAAAAACTTGAATTTCTGTCCCTTATTCTCATCTCTCCTTTCCTGAGCGTCAAAGCCTAACACTGTACATCAGATGTGAATAGGTAGAACTGTTTTTTGGGGAGAATAGAAAGTGGGTTTCTCTTACAGTTGTGAGGTGTCGATAAAGCGGGAGTGGCACTCTTCACCATTCTCTCTCACCAGTTGTTGAAATTGTTCCATAGCTTCTGACAAACTGTTGTCCATTTTAAACATAATCCAAAACTCCGTTATCCAGTACCTGGCAATACAGAAACAGTGAAATCAACTCTCAGTTCAACAGTGGCCCATTTATTTTGGAACATTGTGTCCACTCATTAAGGTGTACTGACTATTTCTTTCCTTACCTGCCTTCCAAAGCCTCCCCAACGAAATGGCAAGGTTGAAACTGATTTTGCGATCAAACTAAAAGTCCCCGATTCCATATTGAAATGTTTAAGTTTTTAACACAGTCATCTCCTCAAACAGTGCTTGTCAATCATTTTATCTTTTGCCAAAACAGTGTCACAAGAGACTTTTGAAGCCCGTTTCATTTCATCTTTACAGACAACCCACCCATGGTTTTAAGATAAAACCCACCCATGGTTACAGTCAGTCCATTTTACTGTATATCTTGTGAAGCGCTTTGAAACATTCTCCTGATGTACCAAATGTAAGGATCACTGTTGTAAATTATAGCTTCAAAATGGACATGGCAATCTTGATTCCATTGCACATAGCATGGTGATTATGTGTACCTCAAACCTGATCTATACTGGATTATTCTCTATGAGTTTGTGAAAATCAAACTCAAATGTCACAAAAGGTGCAGCATAATTGAAACATTAAGTAGAATTTCAATCCAGCATTACAGGCAGATGTTATCTGTCACTGCTCTTATGCATGTGGTTACTTGGAACAGACAAGGGTGTGGTTCAAAGTCTGTGCAGATCATGTTCTAGCTCAACAGGTGAGATTTTCCAGATAATTTCCGTTTGCTACATCACATTGTCATTTGCTGGGAATACAATCAAGGTCTGCCACCAACTGCCCACAATAGAAACATATTTATAAAGCGCCTTTCACAAAAGCGCTTTGGGACGTCCTCCCGACGTGAAAAGCGCTATATCAAATGCAAGGATTATTTATATTATTATTATTATTATTATTTATACAAAGTTACCTGAAGACAAAATAATAATTCCTGCATTTGATACAGCACCTTTCACATCGGGATGTTGTCCCTACCATTGGTGGTCGGGCCTTCAGCCTCTCAGCCCCGAGGCTCTGGAACTCTATCCCCCAGTGCCTTCGCCTTGCTTCCTCCCTTTCCTCCTTCAAGGCCGGTCTCAAAACCTTTCTCTTTGACCGTGCCTTCAGCTCCCCTCTTGACTCTCTTCCCCCTTCTCGCTCCCTCCCAACCCTCCCCTCACCCTGACCATTTCCCCCCTCCTCGCTCCCTCCCCTCACCCTGACCATTTCCCCCCTGCTCGGGTCATGACCCAACTGTGCAGCGCCTTGGGACGTCCTCCTGACGTGAAAGGCGCTTTATAAATGGAATCTTGTTGTTGTTGTTGTTGTCACAAAAGTGCTCACAGGATATACCAACAAGTGTATTGATAAATAGGCAAATAGGCAAATGGTAGGCAAATGACCATGTGTGACCAGGGCGCTCTCTGCTTCTTCGTCTTATCCGCCGCCTTTGATACTGTGGACCACTCAATCCTCCTCCACCACCTCTTCTCCAACCTCAATCTTCAAGGTTCTGTCCTTGACTGGTTCAGGTTCTACCTTTCACACCTCCTCCACTCGTCTCTACAAGCGGCTTCTCCTCCAGCCCCTGCACTGTCTCACGCAGCATTCCTCAGGGCTCTGTCCTCGGTCCCCTCCTCTTCACCCTCTACATGCTCTCGCTTGGTGACATCATTCACAGACATAGGGTAAATTTCCACATGTATGCGGATGACACCCACCTCTATTTCTCTACCTCCACCCTCAACTCCAGGATTACTGGCGTCCTGACCGACTGCCTGTCCGACATCAAGTCCTGGACGAGGGCCAACTTTCTCCAACTTAACGTCAGCAAGACCGAGGCCCTCCTGATTGGCTCCGGCCAGCGCCTCCGCACCTCAGGCGCTGGCAGCATCAGCCTCCACGGCTGCACACTCAACCTCACTAAGCCAGTCAGGAACCTGGGTATCTTGTTCGACCCTGAACTGTTACTTTCTCCCTCCACATCCACGCCATGACCGGCACTGCCCACCACCACCTCCGCAACATTGCCAGACTCCGCCACTGCCTCACCCCTCAGGCTGCCGAAACCCTCACCCACGCATTCATCACATCAAGGCTCAATTATGGAAACTCCCCTCTCGTCAGCCTTCCCAGCTCTTCCCTTCAAAAGCTGCAGATCATCCAAAACTCTGCAGCTCACGTTCTCTCGCTCACCAGGCTCCGTGACCCCATCACTCCCACCCTCGCCCAACTCCACTGGCTCCGCATCCCTCAGAGGATTGAATTCAAGATCCTCGTCTTCACTTTCAAGGCCATCCATGGCCTTGCCCCCTCCTAACTCTCTGACCTGCTGACTCCCTACCAACCTGCCCTCCATTCAGTGGGCTCTGGCCTGCTCCATGTCCCCCGCCCGACCCACCCTACCATCGGTGGCTAGGCTTTCAGCCTCTCTGTCTCCACCCTCTGGAACTCCATCACGTCGCCTCACTTCCTCCATTGCCTCCTTCAAGGCCAGTCTCAAGACCCTCCTCTTCGATTGTGCCTTCAGTTGCCTTCCCACATCTCTGCCTTCCCTCACCCCTACCCCACCCCTCCCCCATGCTCAGGTCCTGACCCCTGACTGTCCAGCGCCTTGGGACGTCCTCCCGACGTGAAAGGCGGTCCATAAATGTAATTTTGTTGTGTTGTTTCCATTTTGGCCCCCACTGTAAACCTATACAAAGCACTGAACACTATTTGGATATGTCAACACTATAAAGGCTGCTATAACATTCACATTATGCATTCCAAGCAGCCACATCAACATCAATCACTGTTCAATCTGCTGATTCTTTTAAAAAGAAAGTTGAGCAACAACTTGCATTTATACAGCTTTTTTAAGATAAAATATAAATGGATAGCTCTTTTATAAAGGCACAGTGGGCAAGTGGTCTAACAAGAATACAAGAACGTTTGGATGACGAAATCCAACCTTATCTTTCTAGAACACTTGCCCTACAGTCCTCTTACCACAGCGTCATCCAGCTTTGTTTTTAAATAAATCCAGTGTCCTGGCTTCAACCACCCTTCTTGGCAACTCCTTCTGTACTAAAAAAAATCTATGTTTCATGAATTAACAGCACTACACTGGGCCATACCAAGTAGCATAAATCGTGTTCATTTGCGATTGAAGAAAACATTCAGTGTGCACAATTAGATACTTTTTATGTGTTCCATGCAAAAACTTGAACCAAGTTTTGTTTCAAATTGAAACACAGAATGACCTGCGCAGCTGCAGGAAGTCGATCTGTTTTTGTCTTGTCACACATTTGGTTGCTATTTCCAGGAAAAGCCTTACCTTATAAAGTAACAGATCTTCAAGCAGGATGGTGCACTGTTGTCTTGTAAAGCACTCTGATATGTAGGTCACAGTTAAGAAAACGTCAAATCTGAAACATCCACAAATCACAGTTTAAATTGTGCCTCACTTTTATTGAGACCAGCTCGATTGGCAACGCTCATGTTTTTTCCTCTGTGCAGCCCACTGCTGGAAAAGGAGAGTTTTTAAGATTCCATCATGGCTATGTAGGGTCTTAAACATGTCATCTAGTGATCTAGATCCTAGAAGATAAACTTCAGCTCATCCTCTAGGACTGATGGAAGTTTCCTAAATTACAATTTCACACTTCCAATAGCCATCAAAATGTATATACAAGCAGAAAAATGAAATGATTTTTAAAAAAATCAATACTTTACCAGGTCACAGCTTTTATCTATGATTAAAGCGAATTGTTCCAATGGCATTTATGATTCATAAGGACTAAAGTGGATTCTATTTATTGGTATTGGGGATCAATTTTGTAATTAGTCATATTAGCTCTGCTGTTCAAGCTTTGATGATTTGTTGTTGTTCTGCTGCAGGGTTGAGTCTGCCACTTCCCCCTTAATCTTTGGGCAGGAAATAAGCTACACGCCAGTGTTGCAATAACTTAGAACACACCTTTTAGCATTTAGCCACCGAGCAAATTGAATTGACACCCTTCATACCCTAGCACCACCCTATCTCTGTGGTCTCCTCCAACCCCACTGCTTTGCTTACCTCCACTTGGCTAACTCAAGCATGTTGCACATCCCCTGACCCCTCTACGCTGCTATTGGTGGCCAAATCATCAACTACTAAACCCCTAACGTCTGGAACTCCCTCCCTTTATCCCCTCTCTATCTGTATTTAACCTCCACTAAAAACCTAGCACTCTGACCGTGCCTAAGGACCACTCTCCCTCCTTTCCCTCGCTCAACATTCAACCCCTCTCACTGTGAAACTCTCGGAGAGGTTATCCTAATGTGAATATGGTTATCCATATGTGAGAAAGTTATTAATTAGAATTTAGCTTTAAGATTTACGTCAAGCCTTGCATTGCATTATTAGTCTCTGCTTGCATTGAAACTTATGCTTGAGAACATGCTTTCATTATTTCTATCTAAGTAGTTTTACAACAGGTGTTTGATCTGCCGAGGTACAAAGTGTGTGTTTTTTATTTTGAAGCTTGAGAAAATATCGAATAAGTTACCATATGATAAATTGATACTTTGTAAAGTAATTGTAGGCCATTTTGAATCGTATGTGCGTGCTTGTGGGTCTATATAGAGTACGAATTTACATTTAATTCATGTCAGGAGGATATCCAAGTTGTTTGACATTCTTACCTTGGCACCCAAGGAATATGTAGTTTGGATTAAATATGCATGATTTACACTGAAGACTACATAAAAACTATCGTGATTTTCACTGCAGACTTCATAAAAACTATTGTGCTTCCCCAGTAATGCCTATATTAATGAATCTGTCTAATACTTCTATTTCTCCAGTTTTATTCACACCCGATCATATCAAGCAAAAGAAAATGTCTTAAAAGTTGCTGTTTCGTTTGCAATAAAAAGATATCATGGAGGGGTGCAATAATATAATAGAATCATAGAATCGTACAGCACAAAAAGAGGCCATTCGGCCCATCGAGTCTGTGCCAGCTCTTTGAAAAGAGCAATGTAATGTCAATCCCACTCCCCAGCCCTTTCCCCATAACCCTGCAAACCCGTCCTCGTCAAATACCCATCCACTGCGTTTTTAAAATTAGTTATTGAATTGGCCTCGACCACCCTTTCAGGCAATGCGTTCCAGATTCGAACAACTCGCTGCATGAAAAATTTCTTCTCACCTCCCCTCTGCTTCTTTTAGATACTATTTTAAATCTGTGACCTCGAGTCACCGAAACACCCACCAGTGGAAACAGTTTTTCTCTTTCTAACCTATCAAACCCCTCATGATTTTGAAGACCTCTATTAGGTCTCCTCGTAACCTTCTCTGCTCCAATGAGAATAATCCCAGCCTCTCTAGCCTTCCCTCATAATCGAGGTCCCTCATTCCTGGTACCATTCTTGTAAATCTCCTCTGCACCCTTTCCAGTGCCTTAACATCCTTCCTATAGTGTGGTGCCCAGAACTGGGCGCAGTATTTTAACTGACGCCTAATCAGTGTTTTATATAGGTTAATCATAACCTCCTGACTCTTGTACTCTATGCCCCTGTTTATAAAGCCTAGTATCCCCTATGCCCTTTTTACAGCCTTATCTACCTGTCCTGCCCCTTCAAGGATTAATTTACCTGAACCCCCAGGTCTCTCTGTTCTTTCACCCCCCCCTTAAGATTGTATTACCTAGCCTATATAAAATAATGTTTGCATTTAGTAGACTGTCTGCTTCGCGAGTGATGACATCTTAAATTGATACATTACTCTAGGCAATTAATGGATTAGCACATAAAAATGAGGAGCTCTAATCCTTTGTGCACATTTGATAGAATTCATAGTAAATTAAAATCAACCATATTTCACAGAACAGAATGAATTTAACCAGATCCAATAGCACAATATTTGATTTATCTGTTCTTCATGAAACAGTCATATTGGAACATTGTTTACTCAGTAATAATACTCCTAACATTTGATAGAGTGCATTATCATATAGTCATCTCGAAAACAGTTTGAAGCACTTCACAAAATTTACTATCGAGTGCACTAACTGTTTGTAGACAAATGCAGCAGCCAATTTGCACAAAGCCATGAAATGAATGACCTATATTTTTCTGAGAGATTTAGTACTTTAGTTAAATCACAAAAATATGTAAAAAAAATTCTTAATAATGCAGGGATATCAATTAGCTCCTCATAAGCATATTTATCATAAGAAAGGGTACACATTAAAAACATATTTTCAGCCAAAACACAAATGCTTGTTTCATTTAAGATGTATTCATCCTGGTTTTGCATGTGAAAATGTCATGAGTAAAATACACCCCAAATAAATATAACTGCCGTATAACTTGTTTTGTGCTGTGTTCATTTTTTAAAATTAATTTAAGTTTGCTTTTTTTCTTTGACAAGAACAGGGCAATTCAATGCCAGCCTTGGATTTCACCTCTGAAAAACCAAACTGAGCAATCATGAATTAAAAAGCAGCTTCTTCTGCGGACAAAGCGATCCTGGTCTGTTTAACATTTGTGCTTTACCATCCAGATGGTTTCATTACACTCCAGTGGTGTCATCTGTTTATCAGTGAGATTGACTCTCCCAATGAAAGGATATAGTGTGATGAGTTTCTGCAGTAACTCGGTAGATGACATGGTGAAGCGGTGCATGGTGAGAGTCACATGCAACAGGTAGCTGCTTCGACACAAGTTCCCGTCTGCATCTGCATAATAAGAAGTGGAAAATTACCAGAGCATCCAGCGACACAGAAATTAGAATGCTGGCTCATTAACCTCTACTATTCCATTCTGTTTGTGCAAACATTTCCATTATATTTAGCATTTCTGGCTGCAGTAATGATCTCTGTCAACGCAGCCTTTATTCTGCTAATGCATTCTTTTATAACAAGATCCCACCAATCCAGCTTATGTTTTTAGGGGCAGACCATTCGGAGAATGGCATAACGTTCAGTTGTGGAATTTCACAGGTTGGGGGTAAACTAAGAAGGTTAAAAAACAAAATTATTTCTATGGGAATCTTAAAAAAGAGACCACATTTTGCAATCCTTATTTCTATCCGTTTCTAAAAAAAAAGGTTGCATCTGAGCACAATGTTACTATTTTATGCGGGTTAGTGACGCATCTTTTGGAATCCCTATTTTCATATTCAAATACATGAAGAATAATAGAAATGTGACAAGGAGGAACTACATCCGCAGCAGAGGGAAATCCAGGTTTCCCAACTCCCTCATTTTATTAATACCACAGTATCAGTTGAAATCATTCAGATTCCCCTCCCATGAGGAGATGAGCTACTTTCTTCTACTCTTTATTTAACTGAATTAAATTTAAGTTAAAAAGCTTGCACAGCAAAAATTATTCCACTGTCAAAGAACTGTTTTCATTTTTAAAGTAAAAATTCGCTGCGATGTAATCAGATGAATAGCGTGTATACAAACAGTGATGAGCTGCTGGATTGGGGTCTTCTTTGTACAGAGGGCAATTAGCAGCTCGAATGGGTTAGGCTCTATATGGAAGGTAATCAACAGCTAGAATGAGTTTACAAGGATGGAGAACTATGGCCAAGACACTAATTCATGTAAGAAATAGAAAGAGAAATGCAGATGCTGCTGTAAATCTGAAACGTAAACAGAAATGCTGCCAATCCACAGAAAGTTGTTTGCCATCTAACCAGGAAGAATGGTTTAATGTTTGAAGTGCTACGTTGGTAACCTATCTTTCCTTTGGATCGAAATCAACCTGCTACGGAAATTCCAACGTTTCTCCTTTGGTTTCATTGAAGAGTCAGGTTGATGCTGTAACAGAAAAATGGTTGAATTGCTATTCTGGAAGGATAAGAGAAAATGGGTTTAAGTGGCCTTCTTCATTTGACCTATTTTGTGCTCTTGTGAAGATTTAAAAGCATTGTGAAGCAGTCTGAAGGTGCTTCAGAATTTACAGGCACCTGCTCCTGCCAAGCTACCCTCAAAAAGCACAACTTGGACTTTCAACTACTAAGATCAGAGCTTTATCAGTATTGGCATGAACCTGCACTTTTACTGCCTCAAATGACACAATCCCAATTGACTCTCATTGCAGAGAATAGAAAATTAGAGGTAATGCTAATAATTTTCTTCAGAAGTTTAAGGACTTGACAGTAAACTTTTTTTCTGTAGGCTCCAGGTGATAAATTCATTTCATTGTCCGCACAGTAAAATACACTGGTTCGTGGGCACATTTTCCATTGTAACTTTGGCAATTTGTGTCTCTGACGTGCTTTCTGATGTTTTGATATAAGATGGTGTATCAAATGCAAAGCTGATTATTGTAAAACAACAGTGAGATTTACCAAGCATTTCATGGCCTTTGCATCGGTTGCATTTAGCTTATGAAGTAATTCTCTTCTGTGCTGATAGCTATTGGTTTCCAAGACTGAACTCTGAAAGAAGTAGTTTTGTTTACATTCTACATTTGGTCTTCCTGTAGCTTAGTGGTTAAATCATTTGCCTCTCAAGCAAGAGGACCTGGGTTCGACTCCCGAGCAAGGCAAAATGTTGGGCAAGTTTCCTTACTCCACACACCTATGTTTACCTAGCAGTAAGTAAGGAACCTGTTTGTTAGTTGATTGGCAGATCCCTTTCCCAGGGTTAATAATCCCTTTAAAAAATAAATAATAATAATTTATCGCTTAATCCATGATTGTTTGTCGAACAATGCTTTGCACAATTGGCTGCTGCGTTTTGCCCACAAAATATACAGTCAATTCACTTTACACTGTATTCTGTAAAGTGTTTTGAGATGTCTCGAAGATGTGATAAGGTGCTATATCAAATGTAAGGATTATTATAATTATTATCTTCTTATCTGCATTGTCTGCCTCACTCAAACCACGAAGTATGTGTTGAATCCTGCACTGTGACACAATTAATAGTTTTGCGAGTGAAACTGACTTAATCATTTGTGAGTAACAAAGTGACAAGCAATTTGAATGCATCAAATTGATGAAAGAGATATTTTGCAAATTATTTAGTTTAAAAAAAACCTGAAGGAAAGTACTCCGTAATTTGGATGTTGTTACACTGATGGAAAATTAATATGTTTTTTTTTCTAGGTTATTTTTAAGTATGGTTGTAAAAAGGGATTTTTGGGGCTCTTAAATAAATCAGCAGGCTGTGCCACGCAGCCACCTCGTTCAATCGCTACTCTTTGCTGCTTGATGATTTTTCATGGTGTGAAGGAAATGCACTACATTTGGCTTCAGTGTAATTGGCCAACATAGAGGAGGGAATAAACTCAATGTGCTCACTGACTTTCAATCTGGTCCTTACAACAAAATGTTTTGGTGAGGATGTTAAGCGAGCACAAATTGGGCCTTGGCAGTCCAAAAGTCAAATAAGCTGCCTACGCTAATTGTGTGGGATCATTGAGAAAGAATAGCCACTTGGATGAATTACTGAAGAGGTGCTGGCACCTGTAAAACCATAGCCCAGTATCAGCCTAGTAGTGATGAGGAGCAGGATTCCTAGTTGAAAACAACTACCAGCACAAAACAGCTAAGGTGGTTCATTTGACTTTTTTTACTGTAAAATATCACAATCAGGAGGGAGGATGCACTATTTCCCTTTGGTTGAGATATCTGTAGCAAAAAATGTAGCACTAAGCATATGAGTTATACTGGCACAACAGTGGATTAAATGAAAAACATCCACAACACATTTTGAAGGGCAGTCATTTTCTGATACATTTCTGCAACATATGGTGGGAGCTACAAAAACAAAGCACTCACGATATTGTTAAAGTACTGAAGACTCTCTTTTATATTGTGCTGTCTCTCACTTCAAGTTAGTTTCCATATGAGCAGTTTCTAAGAATTCTGTTAGAACTGTTGCCTAAAATAGCGTCTTTTGTTCCAATTTGCTCCATTGTTTCAGGCTTAATCTTCCATAGTATTTGGGTAACTGTGAGCTTGTGTGTTTCTTGGCTGGTTTCAGACGACAACTTCACAAAGTAATCATCTATAAATAACTTCCTTTCACAACTGATGAAGTGCTTTCTTTTACAGTCAGTTTCACAAATTAACTGTCAAAGTGACGAGTTGACGAACTTTAAATAATGTACATGTTTCAGGCCAGTAGTTCATTAAGTCAAGGGGCACTACAGATCACCTGGCAGTCACTGTGAGGTTTGAAGACTGCGTTTCAGGAGGAAGAAACGTGTGTGTATCATTTCTGTCATAAGCGTGTGACACAGCGATAAATTTGCAACAACCTTTGGTATTCCAACCATTCTGTTTCATTTTCAAACTTGCAAAGTAAACCTTTACATGGAACAGGGAAAACCTACCCTGCGCATCAGACTCCAAAAATGGATCAACTTGAAAACTAAACTAGCATCTTAGAGCATTGTACAGTGGTGAGGTTGGATGCCAAGCAAGGGAAGAGTGGGAGTTGACCGAGTGGTAAGGACAAGACACCAGACGTGTTTGATGCTGTAATGGGAAGGCAGAAGAGTGGGTATTCTAACCATTTGAGACACTAGCACAATAGAGCCACCTTGGGCAATTTTCCTTACTCCACACGCCTAATAATAATCCCTCCAAAACAACAAAAAATAATAAATTGGTCACTTTCAACGCACAACTGTTTGTGGGACACTGCTGTGCGCATTTGGCTGCCGGGTTTCACCCACAAATATACAGTCAATTCAGTTTACAGTATATTCTGTGAAGTGCTTTCAGACGTCTAGAAGACGTGAAAAAGCGCTATATCAAATGCAAGGATTATTATTATTATTAGACTATGAATTTTCAAAGTTCAGTGATAAGTATGATGAATATTGCAACACATAGGATAACAGGTACTCAAGAGTATGGTAAATGAGAGCAATATAATAATGTGAGCACTTTATGAAGATCAACTGTATCTTGAAGTGTTATACAGCCTGAAATGCAACTTTGCACATTTTTTTCCTGTGTAAAAACATAAAACATTTTTGCACCAATCTTGCAGAATTGTTTTATGTTGTCGAGGGATGGCAATGGCTAGGAATCTGATAGCAGAGGTTTACAGTGAGCACAAACTGAATGGAGAGGGGATAATCATCAGACATCTGAACATCATTGGATGGGAGTGAATTGGCCTTCTCACAAGATATCCTCACTGAAGAGATGCAGTGTCCTGTGACTATTAGCAAAATGCCATACTTCTGCTTTTGTAGTTCTACACTGAAACGCACAATACTGGGTATTAGTAAATTCTCTGCAACTGTTTTTTGCTCCACATGCACGATTGTTGTATTAATGATGAAACTTTTTTTTAAAAGCAAAAAAAAATTCTATTCTATGACTACATAGAATAGAATTTTTTTTTGCTTTTAAAAAAAACTAGGTACTAGGTTTCACTGGGAAAACAATCTCTAGATTAAAATAAACAACAAGTTAATAATTACAACATTCACTCTCGCTTCTATAAAATCCTAAAATATATGTATCCCTATTTTTAAGGAAAAGCCATTTGCTCACACTTCTGCTTTAAAGATCAGCAATATACACTGCTGGCACCCGCTTCGCTCAGTGAAAATTGACTGCTGTGTTTGCCCACAAATGCACAGTTACTACACTTCTCAGCAAAATCATGTTCTCTAATATAATGATGTTAACAGTGCCATAGTTTGTATTCAAGCCATCAAACTAGACAGACCTCAAGTACGGAAATCTAGCCATTGT